TATATCTGGGGTGTTACATTTGTGATGACCCTGTGGGCGGGTGTGCCGTGGATGGGTGCTAGAGACACTGACAGGCTACCACATTGGTGAGCTACAGGTGCACAGTCCCATATCGCCTGGGAAAGGGAAAGATGAAGTGCTTATATGTAAGTGTATCACTTTAATTGGTATGAGGCATTTTGGGGTGAAGCTCAAGAGCAAAACCGTGCGGGCTCAGGCCCAAAGCGGACAATATCATACCATGTAGTGGAGTGGGTCGTTACAAATGGTATCAGAGCCTGACCCAGCTGGAAGTGTGTCGACGGGGACGTCGGGCCTCCAAGGGGGGTGGATTGTGATGATCTTGTGGGCGGGTGTGCCGTGGACGGGTGCGAGAGACACTGACAGGCTACCACACTGGCAAGCTTCGGGTGCACAAGTCCCACATCGCCTGGGAGAGGGAAAGATGAAGTGCTTATATATAAGTGTGTCATCTCTAATTGGTATGAGGCCTTTTGGGGTAAAGCCCAAGAGCAAAACCGTGCGGGCTCAGGCCTAAAGCGGACAATATCATACCATGTGGTGGAGTAAGTTATTACAAATGCTATCAAAGCCTGACCCAGCCGGAAGTGTACCGACGGGGACGTCGGGCCTCCAAGGGGGGTGGATTGTGATTACCCTGTGGGCGGGTGTGCCGTGGGTGGGTGCTAGAGACACTGACAGACTACCACATTGGTGAGCTACAGGTACACAGTCCCATATCGCCTAGGAGAGGGAAATGTGAAGTGCTTATATGTAAGTGTGTCATCTCCAATTGGTATGAAGCCTTTTGGGGTAAAGCCCAAGAGCAAAACCGTGCGGGCTCAAGCCCAAAGCGGACAATATCATACCATGTGGTGGAGTAAGTTGTTACAAATGATGATCAGAGGTAATTTTACTGATGGACAACAAATTGCAAGACAAATTGGGAGCGTAGAGCACATCATGGAGGGTTAACAACGGAGTGAGTTTGATAGTTCCTATCCCGGCAATTACCAAAAGTGAACCATCTGCAATTTTGACCTTTTTATTTCCTGCACACGGACTATAGGATGAGAATAATTTGGAGCAACCAGTCATAAGATCAGTTGCACCTGAATCAATTATCCAAGAATGAACAGGGTTAGGAATAACACCAAAAAACGCAGTAGCAAGAGAGTTACCCTTCTGTACCAAAGAACAAGACAGAGTTAAGGACAGTTTTGGAGATTGAAACCATTTGTAAAGGTGCTCTAATTGCTCCTTGGTAAAAGAGACTGCATCCGAGTTGGTAGAAGGCTCCTGAGTCTCTTCAGCAGTAGCTTGGTAGGTGCGACTGTTACGTTTGGATTTTGGCTTCCAATTTACTAGTTCACCATGAAGCTTCCAACACGTCTCCTTCGTATGCCACGGTTTTTTGCAATGCTCGCACCACGTTTTCTTACGCCCGTCATTGTCAGAATCAACACCTCTTGACACGAGCAAAGTTCTCGGGTTCCAGGTTGAAACCAAGCTCGGTTATTGCGCTACATGATTTTTCTCCTTGACTCCTCACGTCTAACTTCAGAAAAAACTTCCCGAATAGAGGGCAATGGCTTTCTGCCGAGAATGCAGCCTCGGACCTCGTCCAAACTCCGATTCAGACCGGCTAAAAACATATAAACCCTATCGTTTTCGTCTCTCTTCTTATGGCGAGCATAGTCGTTCGAATTCTCCCAAACATCATCATAACACTGATCAAGTTCCTGCCATAACGTTACCAATTCGTTATAATAAGTAGTAACATCGCGATCATTCTGCTTGGATATCCAGAGTCGAGTTTTCAACTCAAATATTTGAGAAGAATTCTCCAGGTCCGAATAAAAATCTCGAACAGCCTCTCAGACATCTTGAGCAGTGGGAAGAAATAGGTGAGGTTTTCCAATGGCAGGTTCCATGGAATTGATGAGCCAAGCAAACAAGAGAATTTTTGGACTGCTATTTTTTCAGATTAGGGTCACCAGCAGCAAGTTTCGATATTTCGCGAGTCAAATGCCCAATTTTGCCTCTGCCATCGATCGCCAATTTTACGGACTGCGCCCACTCGAGATAGTTGTGCCCATTGAGTTTTGTAACCATGAGATAAAGGGCTGAATTCTAGGAATAGTAATCCGCAGATACAGGTGTGGGATTGGGCGGAATGGTTTCGGAAGTACCGGAAGAAATGGTAGGATTTCTTTGGGCACCGGTCATCACCGACTTATACGACATCATCAGAAAATAGAAAAAAAAAAGCGCAAGGCTCTGATACCATGAAGGTTTTTTAAGAAAAACAATCAGTCTTCATATTTTTCAAGAGAGACGATTACAAGATAAATAGTAGAGAAAGGCCACCAAATCAAGAAGCCCACAAAATCAGCAAATCAAATCAGTAAATCTCTAGGCTAGAAAACAGGAAACGGAAACTAATAAAATCTGAAAGAGTAATTTCAGATTTTATTTTCAAAAATAGAATTTTCTAATTTATTTCCTAGAAATCCGACAATACTAAGAAGAATATCTCGACGTTCAATAGGTAAATATATAATGTCTCCATAAATGGGATGAAGAGGTAGAATTGTCACACGACAGGAGCTTGGATGCCAAGGCATCCAGAAACCCAATTGTATCCTGTCCAGAACAAAATTGTGCACCAAGGACAATTCAAGCACATTGTAGTCCCAAATGCTGAGAATGAGGCTGAGAATGGGCTGATAATATCGAATGAACCAGAGGTGTCCTTGGCACTCAACCAAGAGATGTTGATAGTCCTTGGGAAATCTGTCCTTTGGCAGCCTTATAGTACAAAATTGATCAGTGTTGTTGAATGGATCATAGGCGAAAATCTTGCCACGAAGAAGGTGCATCCAGTGGAGTATTCCATAGCAAACCACAACATTAGATAATTTCTGTCCATTTCCATGTGTCTGAAGAGAATACATCTAATTTGAGATTGGTCGAACGTGGTTGTGGGTCTTTTGGTTTTTCGAATCGGTGGATTCGTACCACTCTGAAGCTAGTTGTGCAGGTTGTACTATCAAAAGAATAAGATGGTTTGCAAACAAATCCAATGCTAACCCTTTCTTGGCAAGTGGGTGGTGGAGGAAGCTCAACCCAATGCATTGTTAGGGGTTTGCAAACATAGTAAACCCTTTGGAAAGTTGAGGTTGCAGAGCATAAATACTAAGCCATTGCTTGATGTTAAGCAACAAATTGGATATGGTTCATGTTGCTTGAACGACGACGCCGATGATAGATTCGAAGAAGGAAGGAAGTTTAGAGAAAATCCACGAGATTCAAAAATGGGTGCTTTGCATGTTAATTGGACTGCACGACCATTGTACTGGTAGAAGAGGGCAAAAGGAGGCATCAAAGATGAACAATTCTGGGCATAACTTCAAGCAAAATGAGGAGTGGAGATCAAATCATGCCAACCTTCTGAACACACTTGCAGAGATGGATGAGTTTGATAGGGAGTCTTTGGAGAATTTCTACGAACAACTGTAGTTGGTATTGACTAAACTCTTCATAAGAGCAGCTAGTGTTGTTGTGCTTGAATTCATTTGACCTTTTTTTTTTTACTTTATTAGAACTTGGATTCACTAGTGAGAAAAAATGATTCATTTTGTGGTTTCTTTTATGTAATTAGGAGGCAAGATGCAGAATTAATGAATTTGTGGTGTTTTCACTTATTTCGAGAAATTTCAGTGTGGATTGCGAACAACTCAACAATTGATTCCGCTTAGACCATTATGTGTGTTTTCCTAATCCAAAGCAGCGAAGTCGCTTGTGTTTGTCATTGAGAGATTTGGCATCCCAGCCACCAATAATAGCCCTTCCGTCGCCTGTCATTTCTAGGTAGGGGTGTAGTAGTGCGCTAGGAAGCTAGTAAACCATGGTCTTATGTAAGCTTCGTTGGCCGTGTGTTTGAGTGCTCGATTGGTGATTGTAGTTGCCCAGATACTCTTTGGTTCGCGAGAAGATTTCCCTTAGTCTTCTCATAATGTTGACACGTGTAAAGACATTATCTCCCATGAATTATAGCATTAGAGGAGTGGGTTTGGTGGTCCAATGCCAATTGAAGGCTTCTAGCCACGTTCTGGAACTGCTAAGTGGAATGGACTACGACCTTCTAACTACAAGTAACCGCCTCCAACTGCAGGTAACTGCTTCCTTCTTTGCTTTTGATACCAAAACCTTTTTTTCAAAACAATGTGACAATTCTCGTAACGTTTTTGGTCACACTAAAACCACTTCATTTGAAGTGTGTATTTTTCAAGTCTTAGAAAACTACCTTCCAAGAAAAGCGACCATTTTCAAGTCCAAAATCCATTCTCCTCTTCTCTGAAAATATTTAACTCCAAGCACATCTTTTAACCCATATCAAACAATCATCCAATCCAAATCAAGCATACCATTAAAACAAACCAACACACTTTCCAAAACAAAAGCATGAACACTTTGCACACATACACATTCCAAGAGCACATAAATTCTCAAAACCAACCCTCATTTGAAGGCACTCGATGAGGAAGGACAATCGTTTTCAATTAATGCGTATAAAAGTGGCATCCAATCTTCAATAAATAGTCACCGTACTTTCCATGTAGGGTGCATGTTTTATGTCTACAGCACCATGTAACCACATCATTACAAACAAAATTACCAAAACCAGTTTGCTTAGCTGGAAATTTTTTATTTTTCTTTTTCCAAATGTTTTTAGGAACCAAATAACCAAAGTGGGTCGAAAGAATGCCGAAAAAAGAACGTTGTAAGTCAAAATAAAGAAACGAATTTGGGTGTTGCATACTAGTTTAGCCAACGATTCAATAACTTATATTCCTAGAATAGAATCATGAAAATGTAAAAGTAAATTTGGGAAGGCAATTGGCATCATAAACATGACAACATATGAAAGTATTTTACTTCTTGTATTGAAATGGAATATTAAAAAGAAATCTCCACAAATTCATAAATAAATGTACCTTGATGGTTTTACTATTCCACTGACATCTTGAAGTATCTTGATATTTCTCTTCTTAGGAGGAACAAGCTTTTATCAATCAAAGAAGGTTCTATTAGCCATATCAAGTCAAAACACAGAAACAAAATACATAAGTAACCACATGCCAACTATAATATATATATATCATAAGATCAATATACTCCACAGTCAAAATAAACATTAAAAATGTACTCATACAAGCCTGCTGGATATGCAACAGGTGGTAGAGTCTACTATTAAACAAGCCATATCCTGCCCATTCATTCTGCATTGCTGCTTCATACTCTAATAAATATAGGAAATCATGTCATCCTAAAATTTATATACAAACGGTTAATCATCTTTTCTCTGATCTGACATAATCGCAACTTAGTAAAGTTAATCATGGTCATACTTGGTAACAGAAGTAATGATGGAGATGATTAACACTTATTATATTCTACAGAAATAGCAATTATCAACCAACAACCAGCAATGTCAAACACTAATTATACCATTAATTATTAGAATGCTACTGCTTCAAGACCAAAAAACAAAAAGGGCTAATTCTTGTGGTTAGATTTTATCAAGATAAAATTGGGGAGGCTAATTGTCCGCTTTCTAAAATAGCTTCAAATTCTTATAATTGGTAAATTATGTAATTCAACCCTAAAAATTCTTTCTAATACTCTTCTCTTCCTGAATGATGCAATGAAATATTTCCTAGTTCACTTAATTGCTGCCAAAAGATGTAAGAGAAATATTTCTCAACTCACTTAATTGAAAACATATACAAGTAACAAAATTTTATATATGTTCATGTTAGTCCTTTTTTTGGGTTTTATATTACGCAAGAACCCCTGCTTCATCCTGTGCTGGACTGATGGATCAGCAATCTCAGTCTAATCCTCATCAAACTCCTCATGTTAACTAGCAGTCTCATTAGAAAAAGAAAGTCTGAACTATCTGAATCCTTAGGCACCTCCTCTTAAACTGACTTGCCATATGTTTTTATATGCCCTGCACAATATCGACAATCAATTAAAGCAATCAAACCAATGCACCATAGTAAGATTGAAACTTTAAAAAGTGAATTGCAGTTAAAAAGCACAAATTGGAGGATTATAAGGGACAAAATAAACATCCAAGAGCAACATTAGCTTTGGATGTTTCCAGACAAGACCATCAACATTGACGATACTAAGTAATACATGTAAAAAAATTGCCTTGCTTCTGTCATCAAGTTTCTTATAGACAGTTACAAATCACAAGTATTTCCTAACTAAATGAAATCTAATAAAAAAAATTGCCTAAACTATTAAGACAATATGCCCTTCAATTAAAAATATGGTGTCTTTTTTGAAAAAACAATATTGGCTTTTGCCAAAGCGATGGACAACAGTGAAAGCATATGGTAACAACTGTCCATATAAGCATTTTCTTTGACAAAAGCCGATACTGCAATGGCAAGAACAGTAGTTTAGAACTAGAACACCCCATAGAACAACTAAAATAAATATAATCCCTTGCAACTAAAATAAAATGATACTGCTTATGACTCTTTCACTTGATAATAGTTGATATTAATTTTGAATAAAAAAATGACCTTCATTAACCAATGGTATTGATAAGAGCAGCCTCTAGGACTGCCTACAATGCACTTGCTTTAGCAAAAGCTAATTTTGCCATGGCAATAGCAGCACCCTAAAAGTAAAAACCCAACAAAACTAAAATTCCTTGAAAACCAAAAAAAAATTAAAATAAAATAAAATAATAATAATAATAATAATCCATGAATCTTCACTCATTATTAATTTATATAATTAGATTAGCTTCGCTGATCAATGAGCTTGTAAAATAGGGATCCTATAAAGATATATTCATAACAACACTGTCTCCAAAAGGAATAAAAATTAAGAATGCTTTACCAAAAAAATAAAGGAAATCCATAAGAGAATCAGTCAAGACATAATCATGGATCACTGATACAAGCAAAAAAGAAAAAAAAAATTATAAATGAAAACGTTTTCCCCGTATCATTTTTCTCTATAATAAATCACAAAATAATGCATAATATCTAAAGAGTTATGCAAATGACATTCTCTGATCAATTAGAAGCAAATCTGAAGGTAGATATAAATTGAAGAAAATGAACCCATAAAAGAAGATAAAAAGGAATAGGTATGACCGTATGAATTAGCACAACAAGACTGGACTATAATTGTTACAGTGAATGAAATTTGTACGTTTGTGTATATTTTGGTTATATATATATATACACACACCTGAAGTTGATGGGATTTTGTCCTCGGGCTTCTTCCTCTGCCTTTTTCTTCGCTTTCTTACTTTGATTTTCCAGGGCAGAGGAACCAACACATCGCTTCTTTTCTCACTAAACTCGAAGAGTGACACAATAGAGAGAGAGGGGCTAAGAGGGACGAAAAAAAAACACCAAGTGCACAACACAAGCTCAAGAACCCTAAAATCTCTAATCCAGAGTAAAAAGTAGAGTTTGTAATTTTAAACAAAAAGAATTAAAAAAAAAAAAAATCCTAAACTTTTTAAAATAACAAGAAATCTAACAATATAAAGCAGCTAGAAACTGACAAAATAATGTGACCCAGTGTACAGCTCAACTTCAAGAACCCTAAAATCTCTAAATTCAGAATAGAAATTAGGGTTTATAATTCAAAATGAAAACTTTTTAGAAAATATTTTTGGAGTATTGAATTTGATTTTACCCATCCAGCTTGCTTTGAGGCATTGACATCAATGGAAAGGAACTTTGGGAGTGAATCTGAAATCACTAGAATTGAATCAAATAGCAATTTGTTCTTTTATATCGCATAGGCTTGTGAAAATGGATGATCATTGTTTGCATACCATTTGCATAAAAGTTATCAAAGAAGTAGTAGTGCTAAGAATCAGTGGAAGAGCCATCGAACCGAACGAGTTTCGTCGTCGATTGAAGCATCCCAATGACGACTGCGGAAATGAAAGCCAGTTAGTCTCCATATATCAAATTCACGACCTTCTCCCACCATCTCAGAGTCACCAAAATCATAGGAAGTCTAATTTTCGTCAATACCAAACGACGCAAAGCAATTGAATTTCTAACCTAGGGCTTCAATTCTCTGCAACACTTATGGATTGAACGATCTGTATCAATCTCATTGAAGCTCAAAACCACAAAATTCCAGATCAGATAAATAATGACAGATGTGAGAGGAAATAGATAGAAAATTTCACAATACAGAAAAAAAATATATAGAGAGGTCTTTTCTATCATACATCATATAGGATCTCAATAGAAGTTAAAGAATAGAACCCTAAATCACGTGCTTGGTTTTGCTATTCTTGTTTCTAGTACAAAACCCTAAATCACAGCTTAGTGATGAAAAATGGTGTGATTTTTGAGTTACATAGGTTTGATTTGCCTGAAGAGACAAAAGTGGAATTTGAATACTTTCTCAAACAGGCGCGTCTTTGAAATTTCAAAAGGGACCGTCAAATCAAGGGAGAGAGAGAATCACATATTGTATTGTATATAAACCAAATACTATTTAACCTTGGGGCTTTTACCCCAAGTTAATTACCCCACCGGCTGGAACAGGATATTGTTCCAACAGAGAGGATCCGGATCCGTCGATTAAGCACACAAAGTTTAAACTCTTCCACCACACACTAATACAAGGAATAAACTGCCCAGGGTTCTCTCCATCAGCTGCAAAGAGGGGGGGAAATTCATTGTATGTATATAATCAATATGAGGTATGGCAGTGTTGCTTGAGTAGTAAAGGGCCGGGGCTTAAGTGCCCCCACCCTATGCTCCTGAGTTTGAATCCCCTTCCCTCATCCCCACTAATTACTAACTCTCTAACAATTGCTAGGTCAAAAAAAAAAAAGAGATGTATATTATCAAGATGGCAAATCTTTTTGGTAAGTGAACTATTTTTTATTTTCTTGAAACTTTGCTAAATTTTAATTTAGGAATCCCACTATACTAATCTATAATAAATACTACAATTTGAGTTTCAAACCTGTCTCAAGTAAGCCAAGATTTATTTAAGATTTATATTATCAGAAGAGAATTGGTGGCCTGCAAGGTTCTAGGTAAGCATTGCATCTTAATTAAGCTTTGCAGCTCGTATCAGGTTGTTTCCATCCTGATAACTTATATACATTGTTGGATGTATTCCTAAACAGCTAAAGCTTTTGATGCAAGTAGTTGATTGTTATGGTCTCAGATTAGCAACAAACAACAAGTTCCAGTCCCAAACCTAACTTTAAATTTCCACCCAAAATGCAAAAAAATAGCTCCAACACTATTTGGATTAATCACGACTAATAGTATATGTTTGCATATTAAATGCATAGAGTCTATAGACTATGTAACCCCATTGAGAGCAACACTATTTCGATTCTATAACATAATATATATTATATATAAATTCATATGTAACAGAGAAGTTGATGAAATCAAATTGATGAAAGGAAGAATAAAAGATAAAGAATTAGCATACCATGAATAAAGAGAGGGCATGCATTTGCCTCTGAGAACCGTGAGCCCGTCCATTACCATAATTTCCTCGATTTGTTTTGGCGCAATTTGGGTGGTTTGGGTGCGGGAATGAATGAGATGGGTGTAATTATAAATTGGGCTATCGAGTTTGGGGTTTTGCTGTTTTTCGTCGGCTACGGCTCCATCACCGTTGCCACCGATTGTGATGGTGGCGGCAGCGCCCGATTGTGACGGTGGACGCGTCGTTGCCGACTGTTGTAGTGATAGTGTTTCTGTGGATTGTGTGGTGATCCATATCGATTGTGATGGTTTGTATTGTGCTCAATTGAATATTAATATTTTGTGTCGTGCTCAATGCCTGAATCTCTGGTTCTCCAACTGTTACATGTAGCTCAATTGAAGATTAGAGCTTTGTGTTCTACTTTTTGAAACCCAAAGGAAGAACTTCCGATCGGCATTTTTTTCTTTTGGGTGCGTAAGTGGAGTGTTTTCATAATTAATATATACTCATATAATGGATTTAATTTTTAAATATATAGTAATATTTAATTAACTACTTATTTTTTAAATGTGTCTCCATGTCAAATTTGTTCAAATTTCAAAAAAATGTCATTAGAATGAATCCTAACATATATAAATATGCAAACGTGTTAAATGTTCACTTGTTCTTTAGAATATAAATATACAAAATAATATTTAAAAAATATATACACAACTGGAATATTTTTTACTGGATAGTTAGAAAGATTGTTTATGTTTCTTTATCATTACTAATTATATATATATTAACCTTTGACACTGGTATTTTTTCAACTTTATTCAGGTCTCCCATCGTATGTTTGTTTTTTTTTTTTTTCTATTGTATTCAGGTCTCCCATCGTATGTTTTTTTTTTTTTTTCTTTTGTATTATTTATTAAGAAAAAATATTAGGGGAAAAAGTAGCATGTAAACTATTTGTTAATAAAAAACATTAACTAATAATTTTTTTCTGAACTTCCGAAAATTTTCTGCCATTAATAATTGAGAATTTAAATTTTTTAATTTTTACTTAGGTCTTTAGTTGTATGAAATTAGAATATTGGAATAAGAATTTGTGAAATTTTAAAAAAACAATTAAGAAAATTGAACCAAAAATTTCTCAAATTCCACCAATTCCAATTATAAAGTTTCAATTCCATACAGTCAAACACATCCTTAAAGTATTTAAATTGTGATTGTGGCGACCTATGTAGGCGAATGTGCATGGGCGGGTACGGGGCACCAATATGCTATCACACTGGGCGCGAATGAGTGCGAGGCACTGACATATACTATCATATTGGGCAAGTTACAAATGCACAATACCACGTTATTTAGATGTAAAAAAAATAATTCTTATATTTACATTCAATACTCTTTTATGACATAAGGCATTTTAAACCAGTGATAACCTTTGATAAATCTATCAAAACTCTTAAGTTAGCGAACGTTAACAATTAGGAGTTTAAAATTTCCAAATTTATTCTAATTTTATTTAAAATATTTATAGAGAAATAATAAAAATGACAAGTGCAAGTTGGTGTAACTTTTTAAATGTAAAGCTTGTTGTCTAAAGAGGAGACAACTGACAAGAAAAAGAAGCAAAAGTAAAGTGAGGGAAATAAAAAATCATTTTTCATTGTTCATTTATTTAGGTCAGTTTGGTAACTATTTATGTTTACAATTTATTGTTTATATAAACAGATTTTGAAGAAAAACACATTTGTTATTGTTTATGTTTATCGATTATATAAATTCACTTATATAATTATTGTTTACACAGATCAATTTTATAAATGTCAAAACGGATGTTTTTCATGAAGAAAATAGAAAGCCAATAAACAAAACAAACATCATTCTTTTGGTGGATATTCATAATGAGTATCTCCAAAAAACAAAAAAAAAAAATTGATTAGAATAGCAATTTGTTACTTAAAAGTCATTATAAATAAGAAATAATTGGACAATGAAGATGCTTTTATTATCGATATAAAATAGGTGTTGAATTTTTTAAAAACAAAAAAAAGTTTAAGGATAGCAAACATATTTTTCTATTTATTATTTTAAAAATAAGATAAAGATTTTTAGGTTATCAAACAATTACATATAAACACTCATTACGTTTAAGTTTAAATGATAAACAATAAACAAAAACAGTTACCAAATCCTAACCCTAAACCCTAAATATATTTTCAAGAAATTTGTACCAAAATCTTACTTTTGTGATTTGGATAATTATTTTACAAGAATATGTTTTTGCTTCCCTAAAGAGTATGCTCGTAATTTAAGTGAGAGTATTTTCTCATACTCTAAACCAAGTTAATTCACATAATCACATTTGCCATCTTCATCTTCAAATGCAATGTCCTTCAAAGTCATTTGATCTCAATATTTCCCTCAATCAAGTCATCTATGGTAAATTTAATAAAATAAAATTTTGATACTGTTACAATTCCATGACAAAATTTCTGCAGAATGAAAAAAAAAGGGAAGAAATAAATTGCTTAAAAAACAAAAACTTCGTATTCAAACACTGTAATATCTCAGGATGCAAAAGTATGACCAAGAATGATTGTGAATTTAAGATAAAGAATCACCCAATCAAACCACCAAGCTAATAAATTAAATAAACAACGTAACAAAAACAAGAGACATCAAAGATTTACAAAAAAAAAAAAAACCTCCAGTACGGTGGGTTAATAATAATCTCCACTAATAAAATCAATCAATACAGCATTCTTAGAGAAATTACTATCATCAGGAGAGAACTCAACAAAATAATAGTCTCAATTTTCACTGCAAGAAAACCCTTGCAAAAAAAAAAAAAATCCCAAAAACCTTTCCAAAAGATTCTCAATCTTGCCTGAGAATCTGAAATAATAGTGAAAATAAGTAATTTTTTTTTTTTTTTTGGGAACAGCCTTAGTAAGTATAACATATGCGTTTCTCTGTGTGAATTTTTTTCAACTGCAGCAACTGTTGCTCAAGCACTTCATGCATCTAATGGTAACCATTTATGTGCTACAATTGAAACACCTTTTGCCATCTCAAGATGTGATTTGCCTTTGTGATTCCTAAAGTTACTACTACTCTCAGGTCCTCCTTTGGCTCCCCTATTCGTCTCTCTACTCTTGTTTTTTGTGATAGGAGCGTGTGCATGATCTATACCGGAATCCTTTCAGGTCCTCCGTTGGCTCCCCTATTCGTCCCCTGCCTGTGCATGATTTGCACCCGAATCCTTCGTCTTGATTCTTCGCTGAACATGCTACCTTTCATCGTACTTAATGTCAACTTACCAATAGGTGCAGAATTACTCACGGATACCACTCGTGTCTCTCCCCAAGTGACAGGGAATGAACTAAAAAAAAAAACACTGCTTACAACTCATCATCTAATCAAATCTCCATTGTGGTCAATCAGTTCACCAAACTCCACTCAAATAATCTGCAATGGAATGTCCTCTTTAAACTTTAAAGTAACAAGTTTTATTAAACTTTGTTCTACACGATCTTCCTCTCATACGTGGCCTCTAATTTTTTCAGAGACAACAGACATTAACATTAGTTTCCTATGCAACATGATGAATCATGAAACACACTATTATCAATTCACTGTTTAATCAGTCCCACAATTTTCCTCTTCATTTTCTCCCGGTCTTTCACATGTTTATTGACAAGCTCGACAAAATCACCCCAATAAGGCTGTATAAATCCTTACAGTAAAGGATATTCTCCATTCTAGGCTTCCAAATTACATAATTTGAAGCCCTCAATCTAATCATAGCACCGAAAACTTCTTCCATCTTACTGTGAAAAATATAACACCTACCAACCTCGCTCTGATACCACTCCCTCCTTACGACCTTGAAAATTCCTTCAGCAACGACCTTTTGTGATCCAAGAGGACATTTATTAGGGTCTTATGGCAACAACCGGGAGGAGATGTATAACACCATCAATAAGATTACTTGTGGCATATATCCCAATCCTCGTCATCAATCCCGTGTCCTTACTATGCAGTATGCAGTATGCACTATTGCACTCCCTAGGTTTTCTAAATCATACAAATAGAATATCAGTTTTAATGTTGTAACTTGCAAGGCACAACATTATCCTCTCGTCGAAATTAACAAGCTATGAAGGAACTATTCTTTAACATCATAGCTTAAAGCTTCCATATATTCTTCCAAACTGTCTACAATATCTAGAAAAAAAGAGGAAAAAAAAAAAAAAAAAAAAAAATTAAAGAAATTAAAAAGTAATCAGAAGAAGATAATCACTAGCTGTTCATCAGAAAATTTTGTAAGCCAAGAAGTAATATTAAAATGGACGCAAACACCTCTGCTAAACATTTTGATCTCTTTCATCAGTGTAAATAGCACTACTCTTACTCAAATACAACAACTTCAATAGAAAATAATTAAGCACCAATAACTATGCAGAACTTCAGAAATTTTGGGATTAAAAAAAAATGACGATAATCAAGAATCCAGCAGTAGCAAGGAGCTCATCTTGTAATTGTGTATAGCATACGAACATCAAAATATATGTACGACTATATATAGGATCTAAAATATTGTAGCTCAACAGTCTCATGACAGAATCTACCAACTTTTAAGAATAACAAAGTTTTTTTATTTTATTTGTAAGAAACAAATTAATTTAAACTTATTTTAATCTAACATAAAGAACCTTCAGACCTCCTTTAAAAATAATGGCTTCAGCCACACCTGCTGATGTAGCTTCAGGGAAAAACAGATTTTGCAGAAAATATTAGCAGCATACACAGATAGAGTTCTTTCATATGATCAAACGAAGTCATTATCTTGACATCACAAACAAGAAGCTTCAGTTAACCAGAACCAAGTTGATTCACATCAACGTCCTTTATAGCATCAAAACTCTCCTTCAAGGTCGCATATTTCCCCTTCAGACGTGTAGCCACCTCCTCAACCTCAGCTATATCCTTCTGAATCCTCTCCATTCTAACAGCAAGTTGTACCTTTGCCATCTTCATCTCAGCCAAAGGTAACTGGTCTTCAAGCCATGCGATTTCAATATTTGCTTCCTTCAAGTCATCCATGGTAGATTTAATAAACTGAACTTCAGATGCCGAAACAGCTCTGTGACGGAACTGACGTAGTATGAGAAGTATTTTGCCCACAGACTCGAAAACAAATTGTTTGAAAAAAAGAAACTTCTTCTCCAAACACTGAAATGTCTCAGGATGCAATAGGGTGACTTCCACAAGAATGGTTGCAAGTTCGTGAGTCATGGATATTCCTCGCCATATAACTGATTGGTTTTGAGCTGCTGTGGATGAAATGAGTGCAGCGGTGGTCTGACTCACCTTGCATTGAGCTTGTGTACTTATTCCCTCCTCTTGACCTTGACATTTTTCTGTAGAAACTACTCCTTGTGATCCCAAAGGACATGCGTTAGTGTTATCTTTGTCAATTTGGAGTTTGTTACTTCTAACATCTCCCTCATTGACAACTTGCTTATCTACAAGTTGGCCTCGAGTAGGCTCCGGAGCAGCAGCCTCCTGTTGCGGATTAAGAATATCCTCTTGGGCATGGATATGAATTGTAGGTTCTGACACTTGGATGCTTTGTCCATTGATTCTAAATATACAAACAAAAGAAAAAAAATGAAAAGATTAAGCTTATTCTTAGTATAAAAATCCGTTGCAATATCACTATAACTACTTTGTTCAATACTAATTTTTCTACATTAAATATTCATCTCCTAGTTACTGGGTTCAATGCTAGTTTCCCAGAACATGACAAGCTGACAGAAACATGTACAAATCATTCCAAGATCCTATTTGATGTTGAACTTTAAAAGAGACAATCATTGCAAGTTATTGGTCTAAGATAAATCGAAGTATATTTTAGAGGGAATTGGTGTGAAATAGACAATAGAACCTACTTAGAAAACAATGTAACCAGATCAAACACTTCATAAACAATTTGACTGAAGAAAAAATAAACCACATAAACAAAGAGAGGAATATTATTACCTGATGGCATTCCGTTGGAATTGAGGAACTGTTGTAGGCCACCATGGGAGCACAAAGGCAAAGGTCATCAAATGCCAAACAGTCCAATAAGCGTCCGGAAAACATACTTCTTTCAAAGTTTTGCTCCTCATGTTGCAGAGTATAATACGATGAGAAACATGTAGATATACAATGTCTGCATCAATGGGATGAAGAGGTAGTACTAACACTTTATTATTGCGAACCCATAAACTATCTTCTGATTTCAACCTGTCCAGTTCAACATTGTGCACCAAGGACCATTCAACCCCACTGTAGTCCTTAAGTTCCCAAATACTGAGAGTGGAACGATACAGTTGAATAAACCTGAGGTGTCCTTGGCACTCGCCTAACCGATGTTCAAAGGTTGAACATGTGTCCTTGGGCTGCCTTATGGTACGAAATTGATCAGGGTTGTTGAATGGATCATAGGCAAAAATCTTGCCGTGATAAAGGTACATCCAATGGAGTATTCCATTGCAAACCACAGCATTACAAAGATCAGGAGTCATAATAAAGCTATCCCCCTGGGTTGATATGATGATTTCTCTCCATTTCCATGTGTCTGAAGAGAAAATATCGAATTTGAGATTGCCCGAACGTGGTGGTGGGAACTGTGGTTTCTCGAATGGGTGGATTCGAACCAATCTGAAGCTAGTTGTGCAGGTAGTACCATCAGAAGAATAAGATGTTTTGCAAACAAATCCAATGACGACCCTTTCATGGCAAGTGGGTGATCGAGGAAGATGAACCCAATGCATTGTGAGGGGGTTGCAGACATAGTAAACCCTCTGAAAAGTCAAGGTTGGGGAGCATAATACTAAGCCATTGCTCGATGCTAAGTAACGAATTGGGTCTGGTTCATGCTGATTGGATGATGATGATGCAGATGATGATGATGATGAAGGTTTCGAAGATGGAAGGAAGTTCAGAGAAAACCCACGAGATTCAAAAATGGGTGATTCGGAAGTTAATTGGACTGCACGATTTTGGTACTGGTAGAAGAGGGCAAAAGGAGGCACCAAAAAGGAACAATTCTGGATATAACATCGAGCAAAATGAGGAGTGGAGATCAAAGCATACCAGTGTTTTGAAACACACTTGCAGAGATGGATGAGTTTGAGAGGGAGTTTTTGGAGAATTTCTACGAACAGTTCGTGGGTTAGCTTCTCAAAGTGGGATTTTGCGGAGACGAAGGAAGAGGGTGACGAAGTTTCTAACGGTTTGTGTCTTCTTAGTGGTGGAGAGCTTTCCACCACCGCCGTCTCCGCCATAACGATCAGACTCTCTCTCACCATGTAGTGATTGCAGTACCGTGTATATATAGAATTGATTCTTGGTATACATTTGGGTATGATTGCAGTTTTCGAATTTTAAAATGCTATTATTTAAATTCCCCATCGCAAGATTTTCGTAACAGTTTAACGATTTTTTAACGGTAGAGGGTCATGGTTAACGCCAGAAAATAAATTCAGGGCACAGTGTAAATAAAAAAATCAATAAATATTACAAAATCTTTTAAAAAAGAGGCAAATGAGAAAAGAAATTATTATAAAATAATATGTAAATAAAATGATAGAAATTTTGAAAGGAAGAAGGAAAGAAAAATGAGATAACTTTGAAAGAAATAAAAAAATTATAATTTGATTTTAAAAGATTTTGACTTTTTCTTTAAGAAAATTACACCAATTTAAAGGGCAAAAGAGAAGAAAAAAAAGTCAAGATATAATTTTAAGAAATAGATTTTATCACGTATAAATGTAAAAATACAAAAAATTATTATATATATTATAGTAGGTGGAGCCACACATTAAGTCTATTTTTCCACACATCTAAATTTGACTCACATATTTAAATTTGACTGAAATAGGGTAGATTTAATATATAGAAAGTAAATTTAATTGTGTGAAAAATTCTTACAGTATTGTAAAAGCAGAGGATCTAGCTCATCACACGAAGATTATACTTTTTTTTTTTTTTTTTCCTGAATTCACGAAGACTATACTTATTTCAAGATTTCAAAGAAATTGTGTCTCCTCAATTATGGGATTAAGTGGTACGAGAAGGGTTTTACCTTGAACGAATCCTATAATTGAGGAGACACACAAATCCAATAATTGAGGAGACACAATTTCTATGAAATCGTAGAACTATTTATGTGCATTAAGACTTATTTAATGTCTCTTGATTTTTTATTTTTTCTTAAAAATGTAATATGTGATGTTTGACTATGAATGTCAAATGAGCGAGTTCAGAATGAAACACCCTTCCCAAACCCATTCCATAAATAAAAATATTTTCCCAAACACCATTGCATCTAAGTCCAAGCGGGTTCAGCAATACGTACTTTTTAAGAAAAATAACAAATTTAAAAAAAAAAAATTAAGTGTAGTCAAATATTTAGTAACCATAATAACAATTATCATAAAACACTACTGCCTTTTTGTTCTTAGGAATTAGGTTTAACACGCAAGAGGTTTAAAGATGGAGTGGATGGATCTCGGGATCTTATAAAATTCAAATCCCCATTTGCTTTAAATTTATTTAGAAGAATAGAAATATCTCGTATTAAAATGAAAATCTTTTGACAAATCTTCTGACTCCAGCTTGAAGATCGAAGATTTGAGAAATATAAAAGATTCGGTTGAGATGTCATTTCCTAACTTCCCTTTTGTAAATAAACAGACACGAGATAAACCTTCCCTTCTCATACTTTTCATTCTATTCTCTCCAATTCTCTCTATCCAAACAAGGCTTTAGAGTTGAATATTCTTTTCAAACTAAAGACGTTTTCATTATTCAATTATATTTGGAGTAGTAATACTCTAACACTTATAGGGAATTGCAATTGAATAATTTTTAATTAATTATTTATATCAAATACAACTAAGTGTTATACCAAATACAACTAAATGAAGTGAAATGACAAAATTTTACTTTTTTATTTGTTACATAATTGACCAATTAACAGAGTAAATCTAGGGGCCAATATTTATTTTGTCAATGATATCTTTAAGGGCCATCATATAATGGTAAAAACTGTTAGCACTATGGATTTGCATTAGTTGTTAAAAAAAATAACAGTAATACACTGTGGGTGTGATTGTTATCAACTTTTTCCGGGTAGTTGAACTATGAAGTTCACTAGGAGACCCCACACCATCATTGTTTTAAAATAATAATAATAAAATAAAATTATATGAGAAAATAAAATTATTTTGATCATTGAATCATCAGGGACAGATCCTCTAGCTGACAGGATGAACATAACAATATAAAAAAGTTCAAACTATTAACTTGTTTTGCTTGGCTCGCACTACTCAAGTGTGTAAAGCTCTATTAGCATAATAGACAAAAACTAAAACATAAAACCATATTGAACAAAATCTCCTGCGATCAAACAAAGCTCTAACTTTCAATTACTTTAGGTCTTGAGCAAGAATGCCTTCCAGAACTGGAATCAACATAAAGATGAACAATAAAATAATCTTATAAAAGCTCCATTGGAACCAAATGCAACTTCAGGAGAAGACTGAAAATACGAAAAAATACATGTAGAACAAAGTAAGATACGAAAATCATAAGTTGTATATGCATGATATCAAGTGTCAAGATGGCATGCTACTCGTCGTCTTTGTACGGGTACTCCTCGGGAACTTGCTTCAAGAGTTTCACCTGCAGTTCAAATGCATCGTCCCCCCTAAGCATATCACGGACCCATGTGACTTCAGTCTTCATTGATACCTGAACACAAGCAAAAAAATTGCAGATATAATTTGGAGTAGAGTAACTATTAAGAATTCTTCAAAACGTGAATGCATGGATTAAATTGAATTTGGAAACTGAAAACAATGCAAGTACAGGATATATTCGGCAAAGCATATCCAAAATCATTTCCGAGAAACATATAAAAGCAGTATCTTTGCCACACTCAAAAGGTTTAATGTGCAGGGTTCAAGTCCCACTTTGGACATGGGTTTTTCTGTTTCAAACTTTCAATATACACATAAACAAACAAATACACAAGGTCAACTTCGCTTCATCCTCAATTTTCTTTCTTCGAGTACCTGTTCAGCTGGAAAATCATTCTGAAAGGCTTCGGTTCTCTCAAGTAGATCAATTTATTTTTTCAGCTTTTATCCCCTTAATTTGTTTATTACTATTTGAGGGAGGAAAAAGAATTCTTGTTATTACTGGATACCAATTAGTCAAGGTATCACTATGCATTGCTCCATCATTCTGATACACTGGTGATTATCAAATACCAATCCATGTACAATGGTACAATCAGTTCTTATTGCAACACATAAACTATCTTGAACTTAATTTCTATGTGCCATAAACCTGAACTGGACTGTAATGTGGTAATGCGATGCATGAAGCAACTTTGGTGGCTTGGTGCCATCTGATAGTTAAACGAAAAAACTGCATAATAATCAAAATTTTCTCTTTATTGTAAAAAGAGGAAGAGAGTAGGACAAGATTAATCAAAATGCAACTGCAGAAACTGTGGAGATCAATATTGTCTTGACATACTCTTAGGTAATAATCATTTTAATTCCAAAAAAAGTATATATTTAACTAAAAGGAAAATAATGCGGAGAGGACAAAGCACCAAAATTGTGCTTCATATAAAAGAAAACTATGCCTTTTCTTCTATGTGAACGATGCGGACAAACTCACTTAAAAGAATTGATAATCAAGGTGGTCCATGTCAGATGACAGTGATATTTTACATTCTCCAAAATTGGAAGTCAAGTAAACAAATTATCCTTTTCCATATTGGAACAATAATGTTCTAGTTGTAAATTAGCCAACTCCCTCACAGTCAGAAGCATAAAAACCATTCAAATAAAATAGAGACATTCTAGAAAGACAATGCATTGCACATTAGTGTCCATTCCACGTAACAAAACCAGCGTACAAATGAGATGTGCAAAGGAACTAAACCATGTCATTGAGAAGTACTCTAAAATTCCGGGACAAATATATGTGTTTGTGTGTGTCTGTGTGTGTGTGGTGTATATAAACAGCTGTCATGCATGTGTCATATAAGAGAAAAAAACTTACCATCTCTAGAGCTCCTCTAATAACTCCACTTAAGATATTGCAATAATAAAGACCCTGACATGTATCAGGAAGCTCAACAAAGTCTACTAGCGGGTTATCCTCCAAAATAAGACTGCAACTTGTTCCATCAGCATCCCAATTGGTCACAGATGCAGTGACCCCTAGGAACATTTTCAAACCAACCTGTTTATGAGTATTGTCAAAAACTGAATAAATAAAACCAAGTACTTCAAGATAGGACTTCGATGAGTTTTGAAACCAAAACATGATGCAAGTCATCACCTGACAAACTTTTCATTGTCATTCCAGATAACACTGGGAAATATGACCTTCTACGAGTTCAGCCAAGTATGATACAATTACATTGTCAATAGGTGTTAAATTAAGCACTTTTCTGCACACTTTTAAAATATTGCTTAAGATAATAGAACCCACCGAAGCACCAAACCAACCAAAAACTGACCATTTAACTTTCACATCTGATTTTATTGTTATCACACACCTCCACACGCCTGTATCTAACAATTGTTTGGATATTCATATCATCATTATTTACCTAAAAGGAAGTACAGATGTATGTTATGCATAAACACAAGTCTATTATGCATTTTTATCAATAAACCGGCAACATGACCATCACTTTCATCCTTGTTTAGTTATTTCCTTATTTGTGGTTCTTCGAGAGCCAATGTGCGATGTATCTTTATAGGGTACTTGATTCAGCAGATATCGGTCTGGAACAAGTTATGAAAGCAAATATTTTATGGGTAACAATGGCGGAGGAGCATAGGATGTACTTGGCACCTTTTTTTTTGGGATGTGCACAAACTTATTCAATTATATTTATGGCATCTAACATTTTATACATTCTGAAAAGGGCATCTGTAAAATGGTAATTTTTTGCAACTTATCCTTAGGTTTATCTCATAAATAACAGGAAGGATAATTTGGGTAGGAAAATATAAATAAGATCATTGCAGGAGAAGAATATAGGATACACATGACCAACCCCTTACTTCTAAAATTAAATTTTGATTCTTTTATTGGTTATTCCTCATTTTTTACTTGAACACACATCTGCTTTCTTCGTATACTGATTAATTATTTGTTAAATAACAACAATAACCTATACACCATCGAGCAAAATGGTAGACAGCCAATCATTCAACAAATACATGTGCCAATAGCGAGCAAATGTATGGGAAGCCACTACGCGAAAACAGTTGAATCGATATTCAAGAAAGCAATACAGAATCAAAAATAACCTTGGCAATAACTTCAGCTGTTTCCTTGAAATCGACACATCTGGAGACACCGGATTTTGCTAGAAACTCATCAACCAGTCGAATTCCAATATTATAACCCCTGCAAGAGGCAATCAAAAGTACAAAATTATATGTATAATCATCAAAATAAAAAATAAATAAAATAGTGAGCTATACATGTATAATCATCAAAATATGAAAATTTAGTGAGTAATTCAAACAGTACACTTAAAGTTGTCAGTCTAGTGTAGGTATAAAATAGAAAGAGAGAGGAAGAGAGAGAGAAATGACATCTGATCAAGCTGTTTGTTGACTTCCTCGACATCCTCAAGATCCGTAAGCAGTTGGCGCACAATCGCCCCGTATGTTAGGGTGAAAAGCTCAGCATTCTGTGAACAATTAGATTCAACAGAAATCAAAAGACCATTTTAATACAATTTTATCACTATATCCCCTGTTTGTTTGCTAAGAAATCAAAGGAAAGGAAGAGAAACGAAGATACAAAACGGTCACTGGAACAACCAAAATTTGAAACATTCAGTTCCTTTTCGCTACTAGTTTAATAGAACAAAAGTGAGAGAAGAGTAATTAACAGGAAAAAATGAATTAGGGTTTACTTACGACGCGCTCAACGCTGGCGAAAATGGCATCTCCGGATCTGGGAGCAAGCGGAGCCATAGGAGCTTTTTGATCTGTTATGTGTGTTTTTGGGGGTCCTGAAGTCGTCTCGGAACGGAGATGCGAAATGATCCGATTACACTCTATTTACCATCCCTTAATTTATAGTACAACTTTAATTTTTTTTATCTTCTTTACTTTTTTTTATTATTTATTATTTATTTTTCTTTTTTATTTGTTTTTTTTCGAATATCCTCCCAAACAAAATAATTTATTTTGTATTAATAATTTTGGTTTTGACAATCAAAAGATATAATTTATTTCATAATAATATTTTTTATAATAAGAAGAATATTTATTCAACAAAGTTAATGTTTTTTTAATCCTATTAAAAGAGAACATATATATTTTTTTTAGTAATTTTTTATGAGTCCTATTAAAAATAATAATTTATTCCATAAAAATAATTATTTTTTTTTTGTCTTATCAAAAAAGATAATTTATTCAATAAAGATAATTTTTTATTACTCCTCTTCTTTTCGTACTTTTTTATTATAATTATTTTGGAATTTTAACAAAAGAAATAATTTCTTCAATAAATATATTTTTTTGGGTTTTTATGTCGAAAGAGATAATTTTTTTAATGGTTACTTTTTTATTTTTGTTCTAGTCAAAAGAGATAATTTATTCAAGATAATTTTTTTTTGCCCCGATAAAATAAAAAAAAAATCAAATTTTTTTTTGTTTTTTTTTTTTTCTTGTCAAAAGAGTCCTAAAATAATTATTTATTCGTAAAATTAAGACTATAATTGCCATTTCATTTACTATTGTAATGCAAATATTGAAAAGTAAAATGTGTTAGAGTTTGTTGCAAATATTTTTTCCCTTAATTTTATTATTATTATTTTTTATAAATGAAATTAGTGATTTATTTTTACCAAATTAGGGAGTTAGCAAATTAAGGAAGGGGACTCCAACAGGCACACTTACTTGAAAATATAGTGTTTGAAAATTAGATGCTATACCAAATAAAATGAAATTATTTGTACCTTTTCTTTTTTGGGTTTCGAAGATGATCAAATTTGATTGAAAAATACTTTGCCCCAAAAAAAATAAAAAAGAAAGAAAGAAAGGGTGAAAAAATCGATTGAAAATAGGCTAAAATCTCCAAATCAATTTACTTGTAAATTATGATCTGCCAAGTACTAAACATGTCAGTGGAGTGGATCTGATTAGGGATGGCAACGGGGCGGAGATTCCATTCCCCATACCTGCCCCGCCCCCGGCCCAGGTCTCATTATTTTTTTTTTTTATTAAAAAAAACATATTTTTTCTTATTTTCATATATATAATAAATCTAATTTAATAATAAATTATTATATGTAAGGGTATATTAGTAACTTCATACCTAATTGGGACGGGACGGGACGGGGCGGAGCGGGTTTACCCCCGCCCCCAGCCTTGGCCCCGGCTGGGATTGATAAATTGCCCCCATCCCCATCCACATCCACGTTTAACTAATATGATTCCCATCCCCGCTATAAACGGGGCGGGGTGGGGGCCCGACTAGGATGGGGAATTTGTCATTCCTAATCTTGATGTGGATTCGATTCGAATTCGATCCGATTAGTCAGATATAAATTAAACAAAAAATTCGACAATCCGTTAGCTTAACAAATCGGATATGAATTATGCTGATTCGATCCAATTAAAATCATATATACTTATTTATCAATAATTTTACACACACACATATATATATTGCAATCCTCCTATTAAAATTGTTTTAGAGGTAACCCAAAAATCCAAAAAAAAAAATCATAATGTTATATATACAATAGTGTGATATTGTCATCCACATACTAATAAATTTTTTAATATACATACTAATAATATCATACTCTTTAATCAATATCAAAGAGTAAATAATTTACAGTATACTATATATCAATGTTATATATATTAGTTATATATTACTAAATTTATATATATTAACTATTCATAATTATATTCATTTGGTTGCATAGTTATATGTAGCATTATGTATATTAACAATTATCCGTTTCATGTAACTTTATAATTATATATGTTAGTAAATATGATTTTAATCCGAATTCAAATCCGATTCGATACGAGTCCGAGCTAAATAAGATATAAATTGGGACATTCAATCCGAGAACCCGGTAGTGATCTGAATTCGATAATCCGTTTACTTAACAAATCAGATATGAATTTAATCAATTCGATCCGAATCCGATCCATTGACAAGCCTACCAAGTACAGCCACATGTCAGATATTGTTTGGATTGTCAATCTCACATTACATGTTAATATCATTTTGAAGTCTCCAACCAAAATAAAAAAAATAATAACAATAATAATAAAGAAGGAAGAAAAATTAACTCACATAAAGCGAGAGCGGGAGCAAGAGCGAATTCTAAAGCGGGAGCATGAAGCTGTAAAATTAAATAAAAAATAATGAGGATTTGAGCGAGAGCATGTTCGGAGTGTGAAAGTGAGAGCATGTTCGGAACGTAATAGCGACATTGTTGAAAATGATTGTGTGATTTAGAACATATTCACCACCAGTATGGGCCAGGTTAACAACCAAAGCCCAGGATTTAAGTTTAGTTTGTTTTTTTAAAATAGTTCTCAAAAGAAATAAAAGACAGTTATTTAAAATAAATATTTTTTAACTAAATTTTCAGAAAAAAAAAAACAGTTATAAAAAAAGACGGTATTTGTACAATTTTTTTAATTTTTTTTTGTAATTGAAATATAAAATCGTTCTAAAAAAATGAAACAAACACGCTGGGCTCTTTTTATTTACGGTTGTTTCTGGCCCAATTAGGCTAAACAGTACCCATGAATCTATTGTAGTTCTAAGCCCAAATTTAGTTTTTGCAGTGCTCCAATTCTCTCTCCCAGGCTTCACGCCGGTGAGTCAATGACAACAGCAGTTCTCTGCAACGCTGTATTTCCAACGTTTCAAACTGTGAGACCCTATTGACATTTAAATCTCTCTCTCTCTCTCTACAATGGTTCTATTTCTAGGAGCAGTTCGTCCTGCACCGTCTTCCTTATTCTATTTTGCCCATTCAAGGCTCCAATTCTCTCTCTACAACTCTTCAATCTCGGTTTCCAGATATGGGTCTCATTCAGTCAGGCGTATTCTTCAGGCTTGTCTTCAATCCAGTTAGTTCTCTGATGATACTCTCTATGTTTGTACAGCTTTCACTCCCCATCCATCATGCCTTTTATTTCGATTCTTTTATTTTATTGCCTCAAAAAATGTCAATCTGGATTAGCTTTCTCTGGATGAAAATACTACAAATTTAATGGGTATTTTCAATTTGTTTGTTATATATATATTTTTCACCAGTCTTACATTGAATATGGCTTTGATGATCTAAATTTCAATTATGCTAAATGGGTGGTTGTTATTTCTTAGTTTTGTTGTGTACTTTGTGGACATTATTTGTGTTTGTTTTTAGGCTTTTCAAATTTTAAACAACAGTGAATATTGCAACTTTTTCAATAATCACTTGTAGCATTCTATAAGCTAATAATCTTACTACAGAGTCTTTGGTATAAATATTATTCTCTTCTCTCTTTTGATTACTTATCTGGTTATTGTGCCTTTTGTCATCTCACCTTTATGGAGTCCTATTTCAACTACTTGTTAAAGCATTTTGTAAAGGTTCATAGAATCACGGAGAATAATTTCATGTTTCTGAAACTAGCCCATTTTATAAGGTTTATGCTCATGAAATATATTCTTCTTAAATGATGAAAGATTATGTTGCCCTTACCAGATTCTTGGATTGGTAAAACTCAGACTGTAAGAGCAGTGGGGTGTGTAATTAATTCCCTTTAACTGGTCACCAAAATCTTTAGCTATACATTTGAGAAAAGTGTTTTATTTAGTGATGCTGTCTAATGTTTGGTATCTGATACTTTGGTGCATTTCCTATAAAAGAGATAACCGCCAAAATAGAAACTGGTCCGATTATGGTTAGTAGTAATTGAAAGATTGATTGGTTTCACTTGTGATTTTCGATTTGACATTTTTACATGAGATATGTATTAACCTGTAGTTGCACTGCAGATACTACAAGTGCGCAAATTGGGATACAAGAACCCAGCAAACAATCTGAAATCATATTTTTGGGAACAGGAACTAGTGAAGGAATCCCACGTGTGAGCTGCCTCACTAATCCTATAAAGCCATGTCCGGTATACCAACAGAACCTCTATGGAGGAGAAATTATGTTATACTGAAAGAGTTGAATTAGTTTTGAATTTTCAATCCAAATTCATTAAATGAAATTCTTCATGGCTTTCACAGGTGTGCTCAAAAGCTGCGGTACCGGGCAATAAGAATAAGAGACTTAATACAAGCATCCTTATTCGTTGTCCTGGGTCCTCTGGAATGTCTAACATTCTTATAGATGCTGGCAAGTATGTAAATGATTCTTATATTAGTTGCCTTTGTTTATGTTTCTGTGAGACAGGAAAGAAGGACAATATATGTTTATCCATTTGTATTCATCATATATTTTTTGTTTCGGAGTTGCGATGTAACAATGCTGTAATAAACATTCCTTTGCTGTTGCCACCGTTAGTCACTAGCCAATTGTTAAGCATTTGTTTTGGTTTCTATTCTGCAGGTTCTTCTACCATAGTGCTTTAAGATGGTTCCCTACTTATGGGTAAGAGTCCTCTCTTGTACATTCTCTTAGCTATTAGTTGTTTTCTTTTTTTGTTTAGTTACTGTATGCCTGTATCTAGGAGAACATCCAGATATCACGTTAGTGTTTCAAAATTTTCTGCTTTAGAGGCTAAATGTAATGCGATTGGTGTAAATATGCTTTATGCAGAATACAGACTAACGTGCAACATAATTTCTATATGAAAAAAAAATGGCACCTAATTTAGTCCCATAACCTCATCCTTACCTTATGTTAGTCAATAGTGGTTGGTTTAATGTTTATACTTCGCTATTTCCATATATGATTCAAATATTATGTGAAGCACAATGGCCTGTTTTAGTATCCATGTGGTCCTCTATAACGACTCAATCATTGTGTCAAGTTTTGTGAATTTTATGTTGGATTGTAACTTTGTCCAAATGGTCCAATCCAATATAACATCATGAAGAATCATGTGAACAACCAAGCATGGTGATACTAAATGCAAAACCAAAGTTTATCCATGTGTAACTACTTATCCAAAATATGTTTTTCTGTCTGCGATCATTTGAGATTTACTAGCATATTGAATAAACACAATACTGATGAAGTATGAAATTAATATAATTTGGTGTTTAATAATAGGAGTATGCCCATGAAAGCACATTATGATACTAGATTACTAGCATGCACTCAAGATAAAGGAAAATGCTGAAAAGAAAGTTTTCTAGAATTATTTTGACTGCTGATTGGGGGATTTAGGACAAGAAAATGGAGTTTCTGTTCTATAAGGAAAGATTGCAGACAGAGCTTGAAATGGTTCTAATACAGCAAAAAGTCTTCATTCACTACTTTATAGCTGGTAGGTTACGTAAGTAGTGTACAAAATCAATTTTATCAATATGCTCGCCTAGTTTTTTGAGGGAGTAACAGAAAAGAACTCTTACATGGTTAGGAACCCAAAAGTTCCGAAAGAAAATAAATTCACGTGTAACTTATTCGAGATCTTTAATTTTATGTCTTAGCTGGGTAATCATAGCATTTTAAAGTATTATTACTCTGCTCCTGCCCCCTGATAAACTGTATTTGTTCATCTTTATTTTTATTTTTGTTCTCCATTTACTTAATTTATTGCATGCAAAGAAACAAGCATCCCCATTTGAATCCATTAAGAATAGTCTCAATTCGAAATGCCAAAGCTTAAAAGGTTAACTTTCTGATTCAAGAACATTATAGCTATTGTTGGGATTTGGCAAATTTTCGATTTAAAATGCTGGAGAATTTCCGATTTTCAAAATTTTTCATGTTCCAGGATCTCTAAAACACAATAGTTTGGTACAAGAACTTTTACATTTTGGTTCTATAGATCTAGTATCACTGTGTTTATTCTGTGGCAGGCTGGCAGCGTTCTATAAGGAGGTTGGCTTTTTAAGTTTCTCAAAAACTTTGTAATTCCAGGGCAGGTTATTACGAGGCTTGAAAGCCACTTGATCCTGGGATTATTGTCTATTTCCCCCCTCCTGTCATAATCACCTACAACCCTAGAATATTGTAACCCAATAAAGCCTTATTCATATTAGTAGAGATCAGCACTATCTTTCACTTATTGGGGGTCTCTTTTGCAGGTCCATTGATTTCCTAGTCGCTTTCAGAGCCAACACACCTTTGAAAACTAATTCATGCAAGTCTATATACTAAAGTCACAACACATAATAGAGCTTGAGATCAGGGTTTCACCTATATCAGCAAAATTTGAAATTTCTGAAATTTAATTTATTTGGAATTGTTGGATTAAAAAAAATTAACTACTAAACCTTTTATATGAAATCGGCATCTCACATATTGATTGTCGACGATTATTCAAAAGGTTTGGCCATTTAATATGATACCATTGGAACAAACCTGCTGCTTGAAAACTACTTAAATTTTGGAACGCTTCTGGAGTGGCATTACCCTCTGCGCGCACGTGTTTCCCTACTATTTCATGAACTGCGTAAAAGGAAGGAGCTACTAAGTGGAGATCGGACTGGTTATTATACTTAAAAGGAAGGAGTATGGTCCTGAATGTTTTTGGGGTAGATTGGGTTGTGTCAAGGACCACAATGGATATATTAGAGGCTTGGAGAGGGAGACCAGTGGGCAGCCGGGTTAGAAGGGCTTGGAAGGTAGCCCCTCTTTGTGTATGGTGGGGGTTGTGGCATGAGCGGAATAGGAGATCTTTCAATGGAAAGGAGTCGCCGGCGTGGGTTATTAAGTCGAATATTTTGCATTCTCTTTATTTTTGGGTTATTGGGAAAAATTGTTCATCTGTGGACAGTTTTTTGGATTTTGTTGACAACTTATCGTTGTAATGGCGCCTTTGGCGTCTTTTGTTTGCTTTGTTAAGGGTTCGCTCCCCTTTGAGCGTCTTTGTTAATATATATTCACTTATCAAAAAAAAAAAAAAAAGTAAAAGTTGAGATCGGACTGGTTAGCTGGATTTTCCACCGCTTTCTCTTACAGGGTGTCTCATTTATTATTTGATGGACTTTTTTGCATACATTGAAAGTTGACTTTGGATTAGCTATGCTAATTCATTCCTGATGTAATTTTATGTGCATATGCACTGTATAACATACACTATAAATTACTTATACTTGTGGTAATTTGGGATTTGTAATATGCTCTTGACAAGATAAAAGAATTGTAAAATGTATGCATCCAATCATTCATTTGTTTGTGGCATTCTATTTTCTACGTCGTATATATGCAAATTCTCATACTTCTATCTAGATCTTCTATTACAAATTGCAATTTTTTTTTTTTTAAATGTTTGGGCTTTCTTCTTCCTCCATGGTGTAAGAAAGGTGCTCAAAGAATTGCTATAAAGTTTTCTCCAACAAACTTTTCTCTGTTCAATTGGAATGCTATTTCCAGCCTCTATTTGTTGCACTAGGGTCTCTAGTTATTTAAATGCAGTCAAAATGTTGCAAAACATCGACATATCATTAATCTTTTAGATTCTAGAGTTTTTCTCACGACTTTCTTCCCCAATTCACTGTATAAAAATAAAAAGATAAAAATCTCAAATAAAAAATGGAGAAAACAAATGTTTTAAAACTCAATGGTCTTACAGATTTTCCTATGTCTTTTTATACCTATTGTTGTGTATTTGCCTTATGGTTACTAGTTGCATTTGTCAGGATAAGAAAAATGGATGCGGTTATTATTACTCATTCTCATGCTGATGCAATTGGAGGTTGACACGAAAACTCTTTTTATTTTATTTTGTTTATGATTAGAAAGTCAAGTTATTGTATTATATATATATATTTTGGTGTTGGGGAAGGAGTTGCATGTGATCATCATTGAAATTTGTTTCTTGTTCAGGTCTAGATGATCTTCGTGACTGGACAAACAATGTCCAGTCCCATATTCCAATTTATGTAGCAAGGCGCGATTTTGAGGTACAAGTTTTGTAAGGCCTTTCCTGCATCAAAATTTATTTTATTTTTCTCGTATTATCATCGATGTCTGGATGTTGAGCTAAAAATGAATCAATAAATAAAAATGCCATGTAAATATAAAACAATTGTAATATTTATGATATTTAGCATGGGTTAATGATTAATCAAGCTACTATGCTTCAAGTATTAACAAATTTTGCATCGGAAACTTGTGGATTACCACATCTTGCACAGGAGCCTTCATGTGCTCATTTTAGCATTAAATTCCGTTTTAAGGTAATATATTTGAAAGCATTATGTCTTGTATTATTCTCTTCTTCATATTCATGGTTACATTATGATGAAAGAAAATTAGGTTTTGAACACATCTATCACATGGATCTATATTGCATAACCTCTTTTAGGCGGGTGACTAGGAGTATGAATGGGAGTGTTAAACAATTATATCATTTTTATTTAGTAATTCCTTTAATCATACATTAAACACATGTATACTTAAGCTTTAAAATAACAACCAAAATGCCACAATAAGCAGTCATCTGAGGTTGATTCATATTGATACTGTTTAAATATGCATTGATGTATTAGCATGGAAAAGTAAGCTATAATTATTGCCTGTACACAACCATAACCTAGAATCTAGTCAACAATCAATAAATTTGGGACTGCATTTATTGAAATTCCCATTTTTCTAGACCAGTATAGGAATTTCATATTCTAGCTTCTAATGCAGACTGAATATATGACATCAAGTTATTTAGCAAGCATTAACGCTTACTCTGTTGCTTTTCATTAGAGTTTACATTGTCAACAGTACCACATGGAATTGTCCAGTTATATAATGAATGCTTATTTTTCATGTCCCTATGTTTGGTTTGGTTGAATGTACTTGTAGTAAACTTGATTGTAAGAATTGACCAGGCTGTAAAATTATATTATTATTTATGGGTATTGTAAGTACAACTAATAACATTGTGTTATTGATCCGAGCTTCTATTCACACTCTGATAGGATGAGTAGGTCAGGTAGGCTAAATACACCCCTCGTCAAATTTAGCCTAATTAAAACCGTTATATTTGGTCTATGTTTTTTGGTCTTTCTCCTTGTTTGTCCTCATGTTGCCTCTCTCTCTCTCTCTCAATGCAATTTGCTATGTGTGGCTGACCACAAGAATCTTGTTTCTGTGGTTCTTCATGTCAATAACATAATTGTTAAGTCAAATTGCTTAATGTGATATTATAGTTTCTTCACAAATATTTTGTACTCAATTGCTTAACTTTCCGGGGAAAAAAAAAAAAAAGAAGAAAATTTGTACTTATCATGTATTGACTAGCTCTGTAGATCTAACTTACGATAATTATCAAGATAACTTCAGGTGATGACGAAGACTCATTATTATTTAGTAGATACAAGTGTTATTATACCTGGAGCTGCTGTCTCGGAGTTGCAATTTAACATCATAAATGAAGAGCCATTTGTTGTGCAAGATCTACAGGTTAGAAGCCTCGGAACTTGTCACTTTTTGCTTAGCAATTAGCATTAATATTGCTTATGAAAAAAAAAAAAAAAACATTAATATTGATTGCTACCAAAGGTTGTGGCCTTGTGGTATATCTTTTACCTCCAAAAGTGGAAGCTTGAGGTTCCCATAGGGGGGCAAAGTGAGTGTGTGTTATTTGCAACTATAAAAATAAAATAAAGTAACGCTGGATTTTGTTCTGTTCAAAATTTGTGGAACCTGGACAATGGTATATTAGGAGAAAGTATATTTAGTCCTATCAGACGGGATAAATGCTCTCTTTTCTGGCATAGATGATTGGTAACGCTGGTGCTATATAAAAAAATCTTAATACATGAACTAGCGAAGCAATTAAGTTCGTATGTCACGTAGTTTTGCGCAATGAATGTTTGAATAATTCTAATTGGGGAAATAAAATTGGTAATGGAAAAAGGGGATAAATGAAGGCACTTTTAACCTGAAATATGTACTGGCAGCATCTTATAATGAAGTTAAACTACTTTATGTCAGGCCATACTCTGGTCATTTTGCATAATTTTATATCAGAGAGCTTTGAGGTTTAGTTGCTCAGGAAAACCAAAATTGCATATTTTGGATGGTTTGGTAATTTAGAAATATGGCTAACCAAATATGATCACGATGCAAAACCTCTAAATCATGAACATTGATTCCAGAAGCAAATCCTTATTAAAAACATCTACCTGAACTCTGACTTTTGGTGGAATTATGATATAGTTATGACCATTTTGATTTAATTTCCACTGAACATTCTGTCTGGATTTTGTACCTGCTCTGCTGATATCGCGTTTTCCAAGTGCCAGCCATCATCAGTGACACGAGTGACACTTGAACCCACTTGTTTTTATCATTCTTGTCTTTTGACAATATATGAATTTATGCTAGAGCATGTGACCTCACCTTTCAGAACGAGACTTTTATTTTTATATATATTTTATATATTCAAAGATATATATATATATATATATATATATATTTATAACTCTTAAATCTAAACATGCCACAGAATTACAAAGCTAGGTGTTCCCTTCATCCAGTAAAAAATACAGCACAAACTAAATGGTAGTAAGAGATTACTAATTACTTCTATCTCTGGAGTTAAAAAATTCATGGGCATTTGATATAATGTGGATATCATATATTATTTGATTTTGATATCCAACCCTTTGTTTCCGTGCTGTTTTCAGTTTACTCCTTTACCGGTATGGCATGGTCAGAATTACCGTTCCTTAGGGTTTCGTTTCGGTAATGTTTGTTACATAAGGTGATGGTTCTAAATGTTCTGTTGTACTTTGTACAGTTCTTACCTGGACCTCAAACGGTAACCCTTTTTTTACATTTGCAGTGATGTAAGTGAAATACCTGAAGAAACTTATCCACTTCTGAAGGATTGTGAAATCCTTATCATGGTCTCTCTCTCTCTCTCTCTCTCTCCAGTTGCTACCTTCTTTGCATGACAACTCAGCTACAGTGTAGTAATCTTATTTGACCCTTTCTATTGAATTTTTTCAGGATGCCCTCAGGCCAGATCGTTCTTCTTCAACACATTTTGGACTACCAAAGGTGAACTTTCTCTTCTATCTTCGGGTAAATTTAATCTTCTTTTTTGTTAATAATAAGTTTACTTTCTTCCCAGGCATTGGAGGAAGTCCGAAAAATAAAACCAAAAAGAACACTTTTCACCGGTACGCGATTACTCTTTTTCTGTAAAATTGCTTTATTTTCTTGGAGGAAAATTGAAATTGAATTATGAAATGTCCTCTTTTCTTTTGTCCCGCATGTGACTAGCCATGAGTTCTTTCTTAACTTGGTGGCAAATTCGGAAAAAAGTCGTTTTTTTTCTTTTCTTGGTGTGAGACAAGAACCCAAAATTTTCATTACACACATACTTACAACTTCCACATTTTTTTTTTCTAAGGTATGATGCATCTGATGGACCATGAAAAAGTAAACGCGGATCTCGCGAAGTTGATGGAGACTGAAGGTCTTGATATACAACTGAGCTACGATGGGCTTCGTGTGCCAGTAACTCTATAACCTTTACATCTATGTATTTCCGTTCAACCATTCTTTCTCAATGAAAATAATTGTATTATAAATTGGGAAAATTTTATAAGCCATGGTCTCTGCTAAAAGGCCTTGAAAAGAAAGTTAAAACAGGTGGTAAGGTTAATTTCTGAGCTGTTTATCTGGTCTCTCATGTTAGGGAGACTATTTTCTCTCCATTATAATCGAGACTTTCTTAGGTCCAGATATTAGCTTCTTAGTCATATTTTCGTTTTCCTCTGTTTTCTTGAAACTGCTTCAATGGTGATCAACTTGTAGTTAAACTTTTGTGATGAATGTTAAAGTTTTTTTAAAAAACAAAATAGATTTCTATTGTTTGGTTTTTTTATTAAAGCAATTGTTGTGGAAGTAATACTACAAAGGTTAGTATTAATGTTTCATCATCCTAGGTTGAATGTAATGGGCCAATGAGATGGTTGAGATGCACATTGTATCAATGTTTGTTTTTTTATTTTTGTTTTGGTAAATCAATTCATTAAAAAGCAAAAGCAAAAACTATTGTATCAATGTTAGTGAAGCATACAATGTTTTTTTTTGTTATTAGAAAACAGTTCTGAGTTTTTCTGAATGACAGGTCCTAAAAGTAGATTACAATTTTTTATTTGGAAATTAAAAAAAAGAATCTCAAAATTCTTGGCTTATGATTTTAATTGTAATTGTTTAATATGTTATGGTTTTATGGTCAATTTTATCCCAATAAAAGTATAATGTACTGATGTTAGTGTGGGAGGCTGGGAAAGGAGGCATTGTCACGCCAAATTGCATGATTGCCAATTAGAAATTGACACGTGTGATGTAGGGTCTATGACAAGGCCACGACCTTTTGATAAGTCGTCCTTAATTGGGCTGCGGAAGGCAAGCGCCTCTGTCACCACACGCTTATTTTAGAACTCACCATCGCTTAAAAATGCAAGGTAAGGAGCGAAATAAAGTGCTCATCACATCCATCATTCCTCATGGACTCTCATCTCAGCAACCGTACATACTTTTGACATTTTTTTTCCTTCGTTTTGGATCCAACTTTGTGAAAATCTTTTCATCATAGATCATGATGTTGGAGCTCATATCTATGTCTCACGGTGTAGGACATTCAATAAAAGAATTTGTTGAGTACGTTTTCCAGTGAAAACATTCTCCTAATTGATTCACTCTCTATAATAATAGAGCCAAAAAAAATATATTAATTGTTGTGTTTGTTTTTTGGATCTTTCAATTCATGGTCCTCTTAGTGCAATGATTAAAGGTTGAAGCTTCCTCTCATTTCACTATAGAACATATAAGCTAACCATGGGACCACCCCCACAGTATTACTTTCTCTTGGAGGTAGTGTTTTCCTGATATTTCAATCATTTAGTGTAGGACCCACTGCCTTCCATACTGTCTCCTCGTGAACTCTCAGATTTATACTCAATTATTCTATTGCCCTATGTTTGTTTCACCCAAATTGGCTTCCTTTTCGTGACTCATGATAGTTTGGTAAGGAGAAGAATGGAGGGAAAGAAGGGGAAGGAGAGAGGAAAGTAAAAAACTGGATTATCTTCTTTGCTTTATATATGTGTGTATAAAAAAGTAAGACCATATAACCTAATTATACGCATTGTCTTGTCACCGGCAAAGGCTCTACAGTCTCTACTCTCTACTCTATAGAGAGATCTCTTTCGATTTTCTGTAATTTATTTGTGCCGACTTTATAGGTAGTGTGTTTGAGCGTGTGTGGAGATGGGATCAGTATGTTATCACATTTGGTGAGTTATATAAGTGCACAATCTTACATCCAGAGTATAAAAAGGAGAAATATTATATATATATTCAACCCTCTTTTATAATACAACGCGTTTTAAAATCGTGATTGTCGTGAATCCATCAATTTTTATTAGTAGCGACCTTGGTATGTATGAGCGTGTGCAAGTGAAATCAGTATGTTATCACACTAGGTGAGCTATAGGTAAACAATCCCACATCTTCAATGATACAACGCGTTTTAAAATTGCAATGGTTGTGAATCTACCGGAACTCTAGAGTTAAGTGTAGAATCAGAATGGGTGATCCTCTACGAAGTCTCTGATTCGGGAGAGTCAAAAGCGAATAATATTATGTCTGGCTAGGGTGGGGGTTGTTACAAATGGTATCAGAGCCTAATCTAGTTAGAATTGTGGCTAACGAGGACATTGGGCCCAAAGGGGGAGTGATTGTTATGACACACCGCATTTAAAAGCCGTGAACTCACCAGAACTCCAGAGTTAAACGTGCTTAACTATTTCACTTCCCCCTGGGAAGTCTCTGATAGTAAAAAATGAACAATATTGTGTCTGAATATGGTGGTGGTTGTTATATTATTAATACATTAATTTTGTTTTTCACCGCATTTAATTATATTTTTTAACATATTAATTATATTAAAAAAATTAAAATACTATAATAATAGAGAATTCGAACTCTTTGGAGGATTTTTATTCCGTAGCACTTGTAAATGAATGAGATAAGTTTATGGAAATTCTATAATTTTAACTTGTACTTTAAATAAGCAATGTGACTTGTGGCTGTGTGTATATGCATGCACATAAACATAAATTAGGGTGTACATGTAACATGATGTAGTCATTGCCAATTGATTAATAGGCTAACATTAGTCAATCATAAACATGCATGCATTGTTCCTATATGCATCTATTCTATCATGACCTCCCGTCATTTAATTAAGCGCCTGTCCACTCACTCCTATAATCTTAATTGAGGCGATACTATTAGATAGAACAATTATTTACAATCATATTTAAAAGAGATGCATGAAATCGCTTGTCACGTTTTAAAATACTAAAAAAAAATAAAAAAAATAAAAAATAAAATAAAATAAAAAATCCTTTTTGGGTCGCGTTATTGTAAAAGTTTCATTAGTTAAGATAATATAATTTCTCTTACTGAGAATTACGTAAGACGGGTTGACTATAAATGAAAGGTTGAGTGTTTGCTCAGAATAATGTGTGATTTTGTATACATTTAAAATAAAAAGTTACGATTAGCTTGGTTTGTAATTCTAAATTCTCAAGAATTTAGAAAAATATAAAATTATTTTTAGATAATTATAAAAGATAGTTATCTGAAAACAGATCTTTTATAACTGAGTTTTTATAAAATAGTTTTCATAAAACTGAACCAAGCATAATATTTGTACAGTTTTCTAATTTTCATTTATCCGAAAATAGTTTCCTGTTTTTAGATATACAAACTAAGCATGCCTTTAGTTTTCTAATTTTCTGTTATCTGAAAAGGGTTGACTACAAATGAAAGGTTGAGTGTTTGCTAAGAGCAATGTATGATTTTGTATACATTTAAAATAAAATAAAATAAAATAAAAAAGTTAGGTTTGCTTCATTTATAATTCTGAATTCTCAAGAACCTGAAAAAATATAAAATTATTTTTAGATAATTATAAAAGACAGTTTTCTAAAAATAGGTCTTTTATAACTGAGTTTTCATAAAATAGTTTTCAGAAAATTGAATCAAGTGTAGTATTTGTATAGTTTTCGAATTTTCAGGTCTCTGAAAATAGTTTTCTGTTTTTAGATATACAAACTAAGCAGGCCCTTAGTATTTTTTTTTTTCTTACTAAATAATAAAAGTGGCACAATTAACCCGTTCGATCACATTCTGCAATTAAACAGAGTACGCGAGACGGAATCGTTATTTTATCTGTCGGCGTAAGGGTGGAAATGGTATAATAATTACAAACCTGTTCCGAAATAGGGATGGAATTAGTATGATGAATTTTCTAACAGAGCCGAGTAAGGTTTAGCTAAACCCACCCAAATGGCCCTTGCCATCCATGGCTCTTGACCAGTTCTTACACCAAACCTCGAAGGTTAACAAGTGTTAAAAATAAAAAAATAAAAAGAAGTAATTTTTCATATATTTTTCAAATTGAGCAAATAAAGACATGCATTTTATCAATTTGAAGACTAAAATACTTAAAATACTCTTAAGATAAAAAAAAATAAAAATAAAAAATAAAAAAAAATTAATTTCATTTTAATAAAAATATTTGATCAAAATTAATTGTTAACGAGCAATTTACGTTAAAAATTTATATGATCATACTAAATGAAGGGATTTTTTTTCTTCTTCTTCTTCTTCCTTTTTTTTTTTTTTTTTTTTTTTTTTTTTTAACACTTTACCCAAGCTTCAAGCTAATTTCGTGGCACTATTGTCTTTATGATTTGTACTACTTTTAGATCAATGTGTCTAAATGATGCCACATTTTTACAAATGATTCTATATATTATTTTAAGGGACAGATGAGCTGGGAGGGCATGTTGAGTCTTGGGTGGAGCAACATCCTATTTCAAAATCTAAATCATTGAAGAATAAAACAAGAAAATGACAAAAGGAAATTACTTATTTATTTCATTATTTTATACCTTCTACACTTTCATAAGGGACACAAACTCATAGAAAACGTGGACAAGCAGAAAGACAATGTACCTCCATAAGAACTCCCATATTTTAAATCATTATACACACACACACACACACACACAGCACAGCACAAACAAGGGTTTGTATTTTAAAAGTTGCCTTCAGTTTTACATCTTCACATAAACTAATGTTTTTCTTTCTGGTGATTTCCCATTATCTCTGAAAGCTTTTACCTCTCATTTTTTTATGAACAAGTTCTTCTGATGTGCTGCACTAGAAAATAAAAAAGAAAAAAGAATCTGTTTTACCACACACACACACACATATATATATATATATATTTACTGCAACTTAAATGGATTAGATTATATTATAATTACAATCATAAAAGACAGTTTTCTGAAAGCAACGTATCTTTTTATAATTGAATTTTCATAAAATGATTTTAGAAAATTGAACCAAACAGAGTTTAAGGGTTTGCTTGGTTTGTAATTCTAAGAAAAGTTTTTTATTTTTTGAAAACTGAAAAAAGAAAAACTATACAAAAAAAACTCTCTTTGGTTTACTTTTGAAGGTCTATTTTTAGATAATTGTCTTTTATCATTCTCTGAAAATTATTTTTTGTTCTCTAAATTATTGAGAATTGTTTGGTTTGTAACTTTGAAAACAATTCTAAACAAAAATATGTTAAATTTTATTCATAAAATATGTTAAGTGTGGATTTGAATCTCTCTATTGTGCAAATTTGTAACTTAAATTGCGTTAATGTCATGAAATTGATACTAGTGAGAGATCATCAAATGAAAACCATTTAAAAAAAAAAAAAAAGCATCATGAAAAAATTTCAGAATTATTGAAGCTCTTTGTTGATACTAAATTAATTGACCTCTACTTTACTGATAGAACTGTAAACTAGAAATATGATAAAAACAACTTTTAGGCCTTGACCAGCTGTGTTAGGATTTAATCAATGAATCAATCATGTCACACTGTAAATGTAGAAAGCTGAGAACAGTCTACCAGGTCTATGAACCATTAATAATTACAAAAATATACAAATCCCAACATCTTTGTGTGTGTGTGTGTATATATATATATATATATGTGTATAAACAAATCAAATGATGTTTTGACATGGTTACTTTTTTCACTTACTTGAAGGGAAAGGTTGTGGCATTAAGCAAAAAGCTTTTACCAGAAAAAATGGACTTTGTAAAAAGCAAAAACATCAATAAAGAATAGATTTTTATTTATGGGGTAGGGAATATAAAACAAAAGATAAGACACAAAGGGCACGTCAGAGTTGGCCGTAGGGTTGTCTGTTGTCTTGGGGTTTTGGTTTTGAGGATTACAGACTTCACAGGGATCCCTTCTCATCCACATCTCTCTCTCTCTCTCTCTCTCTCTCTCACACACACACACACGCGCGCACACACACAAAACTGGTTCTTGTTTATTTGTTCATATTTGTATGGTTATTATTGGATTTTCTTGGTTTTAGCAAGCAGCAAATCAGTGAAACATGAAGGTGGATAGTGGCTGCAGTTTTTGTTTCTGTTTCAGTTAGCTCTCTCTCTCTCTCTCTGTTCTTTTTCCATTTCTTGTCCAAAAACAAGAATTGTCTCTTGGGGTGATGCCAAAGCAAGAAGAAACCATCAAGAAGCAGCTCAAGTTTTTGGGGTTCAAAGAACAACCTTAAGAACACAAATACAGTATTTCTCTCTCTCTCTCTCTCTCTCTCTCTCTCTCTAGTTTATTTATTTCTTTTTTTTTTAGCTTTTTGTAGGTTCAAATTTGTCTTTAAATCTCACATCCCTATCACACACACAAGTTTCAAGATCTATATATGCCACATATATGATATGCAAAACCATATTTTAATTATTATCTAGGAATAAGATGATGAAAGCTCTGATAATCCAACAACAACAACAACAATCACTTTTGGAAACTGAGAACATGTCAAATTTGACTTCTGCATCTGGTGATAATCAAGCAAGTGTTTCTTCAGCCAACAGAGCTGAAACAGCCCACTACTTTGCTCCATCAACAAATCAAACTACTCAACCACTCAAGAGAAAAAGAAACCTTCCAGGCAACCCAGGTCCTTTTGTGTGTGTATGTGTGTGTTTCATTTTTTTTTTTTTACCATAATTCTCAAATTTCTCACATGGGTTCCAATTTTTCTTGATTTTGAATCAGACCCAGATGCAGAAGTGATAGCTTTGTCACCCAAGACTCTGATGGCAACCAACAGATTCATATGTGAGATCTGCAGCAAAGGGTTTCAGAGAGATCAGAATCTTCAGCTCCACCGAAGAGGGCACAACCTTCCATGGAAGCTGAAGCAGAGAACAAGCAAGGAAGTGAGGAAGAAGGTGTATGTGTGCCCAGAAGCAAATTGTGTGCACCATGACCCATCAAGGGCTTTGGGTGACCTCACAGGGATCAAGAAGCACTTCTGCAGAAAGCACGGTGAGAAGAAGTGGAAATGTGACAAGTGCTCAAAGCGTTATGCAGTTCAATCAGATTGGAAAGCTCACTCCAAGACCTGTGGCACAAGGGAGTACAGATGTGACTGTGGAACCCTTTTCTCAAGGTAACTAACTAACTCACCCAAATCCCATCATTTTATCAAAAAGTTCATATACCTTATTATAATAAATCCCATTAAAACACACTAATCTGAAATCTTCATGTATAGAGATCTATAAGTAATGAATAAGAAGATTACAAAGCAAAACAATCCCCAATTGAAGACATTATAAACATTTAAGTCACGAACTCGACACAAGAAAATCTTGTAAGACTCTGTAGGAATCCCAAGCTAGCCATTTTCACGGGGAGAAAGAAAGAGGATAGAAAAGAGAGAGAAGAGAATATTTCTTAATTGTTTTTGGCAGTTTATGATGGTTTGGTTTTGTTTTCTTGTGTGTGATTCTTTTTGGTCTTGATTTTCAGGAGGGACAGTTTCATCACCCACAGAGCATTCTGTGATGCTTTAGCAGAGGAAAGTGCAAGAGCAATACCAGGGATTTCAACATCTCACATCAACAATCTTCAAGTTCAACCTCATCAGCTCAATATGAGCAGTGACCTCCATGCATTTTCAATGAAAAAAGAGCAGCAACAAAATTTTAGTCTAAGGTCAGAAATCCCACCATGGCTAGCATGTCACCCTGGCCCACCACCTATTGACCACACCTCACCAATCTTCACCACAAGGTCTTTGGATCAAGATTTCACACCAACCCAAGATTTAACAATCCATGAAAACCCTAACCCTAGCCTTGGACCCAGCCTTCCACCGTACTACCCAACAGCCTCCCCACACATGTCGGCTACTGCATTGCTGCAGAAAGCAGCTCAGATGGGTGCAACCATGAGCACCACCAAAATGAGGCCCCACCAGGCCCATCACGTGTCTGCTGATTCTGGTCACAACACAACAGGTTTTGGCCTCAATTTGGGCTCACGTGAAGAGATGGGTGGTGGGTTTGTCCATGGATTGGCTGCTTTTGGGAATAAAGCTGCAATTACGTCTGGTACCACTACTGCACCTCCTCCTTCTCTTCTTCAAGACATGATGAATTCTCTCTCCTCTCCAAATGGGTTTGATGAGTCCTCCATTGAAGACACTTTTGGTGAAATGTTGAATTCCAAGAAAACCAACACCAATTTTCTTAGTAGGGTTAATGAAAATGGTGGTGGTGGAAATGATGATGGTATGACTAGAGACTTCTTGGGTTTGAGACCACTCTCTCATAGTGACATTTTCAACATTGCTGGTCTTGGTAATTGCATGAACACTCCTCGTGAGAATCAAAATCAAACCCAAAAATCATGGCAAGGTTAGCTATAGATGTCTCTTAATTTAATGACTTTTAGTTTTTGTTACTACTACAAGTTTTGGTTTTTGATTAATTTGTTCTTAATTATGGTTTTAGTCTTCCAAAGGGAGAGACCTTTCTGAAACCTAAATAAACTGCCTCTAGTTATTAGATATATATTTCATGTATGTTCTTTGAGAGTAAAGTTCTGTAATTTTTCAACTGTAATTGTAAGTTGGAAAGCCTTATAATTTTGTTTTTTCCAGTAAATATAGGAACATTATTATTATATGGTGTTTCATTTGGAAGTAATGTTGAGGAAGAATGACTTCTTGAGATATGAATTCACATATTATTTTCAATTTTTTTCTCCATTGATGCACTGTTGTGGCACCTTAAATTTATATATAATGTAATTGCCAGAATAAATATGTGATATTTATTGGAAAAGAATGTCATTTTTTGGGTATAGAAATTTTTAAGAGGATATGTGGGCCATGGATCGTTTTCCTGAAAAGTTATTAATTTGTCTTTTTAAATTTTGAATATTCAAGTTTGAAATTTTAAATATATATAAAGATGTAAAATATATTATTTGAAAAAAAAAAAAAATAGACAATTATTTTGGGACAATTCAAAAATAAAAGATGAACATTCTTTTTGGAGCAAAGAGAGTACCATTATTTGGATGAAAACATAAAAATTAGGACTGATATGCCATAGAATGAAACATCGTTATGTTCACTAGAGTAGTCACTTTGTTAAAAATAATAACAAAAATTTAGAATTATACCTATATAGGTGGAGCCAACACGAGTAATTATTGATTGTTTTAAGATATATCGATAATTATTGAACAGTTGGATCACTTTTGTTTTCGTTACTGCATTCAATATTGAGTAGAGTAGTACTATTTAGAACGAACATTATTGATATTTTACATGCACAACCAATCAAAATTGAAAAGTATTTAGTCTAGCAATTCACTCCGCTCATCCTAAATAACATTGTTCTATTGATTAATTTCATTATCTCCCAAATTTACTATATATATAGTATGTTGTTATAAAGGATCAATCTATTCTAAGGACATTGATGTTGCAATTCATCTGAAATATTCTTGCAATGAAAGTAGTGGTCAGTCTGATGATAGGTCTATCTTTGGAAAGGTTTGGTCTTGACTGGTATATACACAATTTTGTATGCCAATCCCACTTTACAACATGATATATTATTTACTTAATTGAAATAAGTTTTTTTTTGGTACCACATTTAATGCTCAATAGTCACGGTGATTCAAGTTTTGGGCACATCCTTAATCTTGCACACAAACTAGTCGTATATGGGTTCAGTTCTTATCATCTACTAACATTTGTCTGTATGTATATATATGTGTGTGTGTGTGAGAGAGAGAGATTTATTATTTGAACTTATGTGTGTGTGTGTGTGAGAGAGAGAGATTTATTATTTGAACTTATATAAAAAATAAGTGATCCATAAGATTAATTGAATATACGAATATATACATGTGACGAGGTTTAGGGATATACCTCGGTCATTGACGGGTACAAGAGCATAGGATTCTCTTATGAAAAAGATTCTAGAGATGGTGCATGTATAGACGTGCAAGTTATATATATATATATATTGTGTTATTTATTTATTCAATTTTGCAAAACACACAAAGAGATGCTGGTTGACCCAGATGTGGGTTCAAAGTGGGATTCAATCCCGAGGAAGGATCATGCCCATATAAAATGCAAACATGAAGGAATGTCTTCTATGTTAATTTTCTTTTAATGTTTGTTTGTCAATAATGTAATTTAGTGATATTTTTTAATTTTTAAAAATAAAGGTTAATATTTTAAAGAAAAAGTGGGTTGTCTAAATTAAAGAAAATATATATATATATTCTTTTAATATTTTGATGATATAACCGAAAGTCATGTTTGATACTTGAATGCAACCAAATGTTTTTTTTATTGTTTATTGATGTACAATACAAATAATTGACGGATTTCACTTTTTTATTTGTGACATAAATATGTCAATGAAAAAAAATAATTACAAGCATCATTTTATTTTATCTTTTTATCAAAAAAAAAAAAAGAAAAAGAAAAAAAACAAACAAAAAAAGGAGTGTGTTATTGTGTGTAATCATGTGTTATTGTTGTAATCTAGGCTATGAATGTATGATTAGCCTATCATCATCATAAAAGATATATATATATATATATATAGGTGTAGGTAAACTTTATATAAAAAGGTAAGTGAAAGAAGCAAATCTCTAGAGATATTGTTACGTTGAGGTCAAAGAGAGTTTTTGGCAAGCTTGGGAGGTGATGTTGGCACATGTCTTTCCAGTGGCAAGAGAAAGGAAATAATGAAAAAAATAGATTACACAACAGGAGATTCCTCTGAACCCCACACCCATTTTCATCATATATTTTTGTTTGTTTTGTCTGTATCTGATTGTTTCTTGTGTGTGTGTGTGTGTGTGTGTGTGTGTGAGAGAGAGAGAGAGAGATGGCAGGATTAGGAGATGGTGGCATGTTTGTCATTTGTTATAATCAAATGACTTTTCTATTTTTCTCTGAATGAAAATTTAAGTACATAATGGCATTTGATACGCAAAAAAAAGAAAAAGAAAAAGAAAAAAAGTATATTAATGTTTTTTTCTTTTTTTTTTTTTCCCTGACAAAGAAACAACAACAGCCTAATCAAGGACACAATCTTTGGCTGCGAGAGCAAGAATATAAGCGGGAATAAAAGTTAAAGTAGTATCCTTGATAATGTGTTCACGGTAAAACTGAGCAAGAACATGAGCGACCTCATTACCATGGCTAAGTACATGGCTAAGTCGAGAATAAGAGAGTCGCCGAAGTGCCACTCGAATATCAAACACTACTGACTGAATCTCAACCGGACCACAATCATCACCATCAACTGCCTGGACCATAAACAAAGAATCGCATTCAAACCAGAACTTATCATAAGATATGTGTGTGTCTATTAATGCGTGTCTGTGTGTGTGTTTTTTTTGTTCATTTATAATGTATTAAAAAATCTTAGTTTTTTTCTCAAAAAGGTCTGATCCATTGGAACCTTAAATAGCCATCACAGAAACCAGTCCTAACAAACAAATATAAAATAGGCAGATAAATCGAAAATTATAATAATAATCTAAAAAAACAAATCATGATCGAACTGCCAAATATGCATAAAACCATGAATGTGTTTATAGGTTTTTTTTCTTGCCAAGAAACTCATTTGCCCAATTATGTCCCAAGACTCCCAACGACTTGAACCTTTACCGTCAAGCACGAAGTATATAGTCGATAGGCAATTGCCCTCACTAAATTTTTTTTTCTAATGGTATTCTACTAACAATTTTTCATTTATAAGAGATATCACTGTTTTAAAAAAATTAAAAATGGGTATTACCCATTTTGTAAGGGTTAAACTATTTAATTTTATTTTATTCTTGTAAAGTACATCGACATCCCTGAGGTATGCGATAAGGACAACCATATATAAGTTGAGTCTTTTTTGGATAAAAACACTCCCTTATCAAAAAATGAATCCAAACATTGTGAAAAGTCTATATTGCCCTTCAATAATTTTATTAATTTAAATTATAAAATATAATAACTTTTAAATGACATTTTTACCTTTAGTATATCACCCCTCTCACTTCTATACATACTAAACCCAGACAACCACCACCATCACAGAAAACCTATGACAAACGAAACATCGCTTCTCAAACCCACAACAAATGAGCAATCATCACCTCTCAAACCCACCATCAAACCCACGGCCTCTCCCTTAAACCCATATTTTGCAAAGATTAAACTTTCATTGAATCCGATTGAAGAATTTCATTAATCGTCTTTGTTGCTAAGAAGTAAGCCTCTTGGTCTGAAGTCAATTTCCTTTATGGAAAGATCTATCTCAACTCCACATCCAAATCTCTAGCCCTAAACCCCTCACCGTTATTGTTTCTTTTAGCAAAATCCTCGTATATAGTTGCCAAATTGGGTGGGAAATTCGAGCACATTAAATCAGGCGTCAACGTCGTTGCCGAAGACGAACACGCGCGCTTTTTCGGATCCTTCTCGCTTAGGAGCACATTAAGGTTGTGGTGGTATCGACGCCTCTACTACAACCACCGTCGAAGTCGTAGCTAGACAATTTGGGGCTATATAGATACACACACACACACACACACACACACACACATTCCCCTTATTTCTCCTTTCTTCGTTCTCTCTCTTCCTCCTCTTGCCGCTCCAACACCACCCATCATTGCCACCACCATCGCCCCACCCCTTCTCTCTCTCTCCACGACCCCACCCCCCCCACCACTTACCATCGCCACCACTACCCACTTTCACATCCATAACCCACAACAGTAATCCCCAATTTGGCCCTTAAATCCACATTCAGCTGGTACGATAAGCGCTCGAAAGGCAAGATTGTTGTGGTCATCAAGTCCGACAAGAATGTCGAGACCTTCTATGGCTACTTGGCTGCAATCATAGTTGATGAGGGTGACGTCAGAGCCGCCATCGCCGAAACGGAAAACGAAATCGACCAAGCCAAATTGAAGGCCTCCAGTTCATCATCATCATCTAATTCACCGGCTTGATTTATCCTTGACAGCTCATCGTCTTTGCTGCCTTGTGTGTGTGTGTGTGTAAAAAAGAAAAAATGGAAGGATGAAGAGGTGGTGGTTTAGTGGAATTAGTGCCGGCGATGTCGTGGGAAAAGGGGCGGCTAGTGTTGGAGTGGCAAGAGGAGGAAGAAAGAAAACAGAGAGAGGAGAGAAGGAAAGAAATGGGTATGCACAAACTAAACACATAGGAGGTTAGAAAGGTAATTTCAACATTTAAATTGGTCAATATAAAAGTCAAAGGGCAACAATGTCAATTCATTACATGTAAAAGACCATTGGGGTATCTTTAATTATTAACTATATCAAACTTGAGGAGGGTGTTCTTTGTTCAAAAATTACTCATCTTGTATATGGTTGTTCTTATGGCAAACCTTAGGGGTGTTGATGTACTTTACCCTCTCTTTTTTTCTTTTAGCTTTCTTTGTGAATCAATATCGTTTACATATATATTCTAGTTCTTGCAAACCTAGAAACAACATGGATGGAATCCGAAGTATCCCTCAATCAATAAATCTCTCATTTTTTATTTTAATATGGAGTTAATCAAAACTTTTATTATTTAAGCAAAACAATGAGGTTTTCTTATTGATTTTCATTGAATAATCATCTATTAGTATATCAAGAATATAAAATTTGCAAGTAAAAAAAAAGAAAAGAAAAAGGATCGTTATACAATAATATTAGGGTTAAAAAAGAGATCGCTATACAATAATATTAGGGCTAAAACAGGATTTGTTTTGCTATGAAGAAAGAGGAAGAGAGGAAGATGATCGTGATTAAGATGCGCAAAAAAAAAAAAAAAACCGTTATGAAAAGAAAATAAAAAAAGGTTTAATCAGTACAAAATGGGTAATACCCATCTTTAAACTTTTTTACATTGGACCACATCAGTTGGAATATAAAATTTATCCTTGAAAGGACACAAGTATTGTCCTTTTATAAATAATTAATATAATTTATTAAATAATTAATATAATTTATTAATCTTTCATCTTTTATTTACTAATTGATATTAGTCGATATTCATTCACGCGCGAGCATAAACACATTCTATATATATATATATATATGCACATTTATGCGAGTGTTCATGTTAATTTCTTTTCATATGTGTCAAAATTTTAAATTTAGTATTTTTGAATTAAAAAATTCTAATATATATACCCATACATATCAATATATCATCTATTTTTTCGGAATTACTTTACTAACTATGGCAATCATTTACATGGTCAGTGATTAATTTTAGAAAATTAGAAAAAATTTCAAACCTACATTTACTATTAACAGACTCACAATTGATAGCCCAAAATATCGTTTATAGTAAAACTAAATTCAGCTAAAATACATCTCTCTCTCTCTCTCTCTCTCTCTCTTCTCTCTCTCTTAATCCATCTTGTTTCTCTGTCTTTCCTCCCAATATTTCTCCCCATCTCCCATCAAACCTCATTTTCTTAGCTTCGAGAAAAGAAAGGAAAATAACACCCCAAACAAAGCCTCATCAAGAAACCACCACCACCCCCGCCGGAAACGCAGCCGATATCTGACCCACACTCCCCTAAAAAACAAAAAAGAAAACCCCATCCAACATGAGCATTCCAAGGGGCAATGGCACCCAAGCTTGCGCTGCATGTAAATACCAGCGCAGAAAGTGCGCACCGGACTGCATTCTCGCGCCTTATTTCCCACATGATCGTCAAAAACAGTTCCTCAACGCCCATAAATTGTTCGGAGTTAGCAACATCACCAAGATCATCCGAAAACTCGACAAGCACAAGAAGGATCTAGCCATGAGGACCATCATCTTCCAGTCCGACGTACGAGCAAGCGATCCTGTTGGTGGATGTTACAGAATAATTTGTGAATTGCAGCGCCAGATCGAGTACAGTAAAGTTGAGCTCGACGTTGTTCTTCATCAGCTTGCCATACACCGAGCTCAAGCTCAGCAACAAAATCATGATCATATTGATTCAGCATTGAATTGTGACGGTGTGAATGTGGACCTCTTGAATCCGTATAATACGATGAGCTACCATGATCAAAACCAACTGAATCAAGAACAATATATTACGACCACACAGTATAATCACGTACCATTGCAAGACATTAGCACTGCATGGGCCATGCAGGATTCCACGTCGACTAGCTTGCAAGACAAGCAAGGTTTTGTTAATGAATGTGATGATCATTTGAAGTTGCCTCTAGATGAAGCTGGAGAGAGACAGGAGTTCAAGTTTCAGCATGAAGAAACAATTGAAGGGAGGTTTGAACCATTGACATTATCGATTGTATCATCATAGGTTGCAGAATTAAATATTGTTTGTATTAGATACATTATTGTGACACTAAATGAAACCAAAAATATTACAATGCATATAAACGCACGGTCCCATATATACACACACAGAGACACGCAAAGACATTATGTTTACCGTTGAGGAACAAAGTCGATGAAAGTATTTTGTTTAATTAATTTTTGTTCACTCAGTAGAAATTAATAAAAAATTAAGAATTTGAGTGAACAAATTAAAGATAACATTTTCATTTCGTTTGAGAAATTGTAATCCGGGTTCTCAAGATACAAACCTCAAGAAAGATCAGTGTAGTTCATAAAATTTGACCGAACCTAAGAAGAGATCAGTGTAATTTTTCACTATCTTTTTAAAGGGTTTCGAGCTTCTATGGACCTAACCTGACCCATTGATATTTTAATGGCCCAAACTCAGCTGTAAGTCGGTTAAGCTAACGAGCCAATCCTGGGATTTTGTCCCAAGCCCAGGCCCTACTATGAATAACCGGCCGGAGTAGCCCATGAACAGTCAAAAACCAAAATATGCACAGTAAATATTCACCAGAAATTTCCTAAAACAATAGGAAAGTTAGGGCTTTTTTTTTTTTTTTTATTATTATTATTATTTTTATAACAGAGAAAAAAAAGGTCTGGTTTATAACTCTAAAAACAAATCATCATTTGAAGTTTCCAAAAATGTGAAAAGTAGAATGTAATGGCAAATTACAGACCACATATTTTGCCCTTACAACAAGCAATTTAACCTTCTACCCTTGAACCAATATTGACGATTGAAAAAAAATAAAAATAGAAGTCACTGTAATTGCCATCTTCAAATGAAGCTTGTACTGTCATGTTGTTGCACATTAGGATGGAGTATGCCATGCTGGTCTATATGACCAAGATCTTCAATGTGATCATCTATTGATGCAATGGATTCACTTGGTTTACCCCACCCCTTGGATTAAGCACAATTGATTCAAGATTAAGGTTTAAAGATCTACCACCATGCACTATTTAGTCATTTACTGGAAATATTTACATCAAACCAGGTGTAGTACTCAACACTAAACCGGTGTTAACATTACTGTAACATAAATCTCAAGTCTCTTTTCCATAAAGATGGTATGGTGACCATGCTTGCACTTTCACAACTTCTATCAGCTATCTCATAATTTTCTGAATTGTTTCGGTCTCTAAATGAAATTTTTTGCAACTCCCAAAAAAGAATGAAAGCCTGAATTCTCATTCGGCGTCTCAATAATATCATATCCTCAAATTCTGTCACCCAAATCAGTAGCCCATGTCATCCATATTTGGCATTCGATTTGCAAGTGGGTTTACCTCCCCCAGACGATCCACAACAATTGCCTCGGTGGTTGTCAATAGCAACGAGATACTGCCAACAAAGATCAAAGTTTGTTAGGTATATTGAAGGATTGTACATATTCACAAAGTAACATGATATACTATGATTTTCACCTGGCAGCATCTACTAACGCTGTTCTGACAACTTTGAGAGGATCTATTATCCCAGCCTCCACCATGTTAACATACTTACCTGGTAAAGCAAAAGCTACCTTGAGTGCATTAATAACACGAATAATTTGACATGTAGATAAAGTCATTAACATCCAACAAGCATCAATTTTCGAAAAGGAAAAGGAGCCAAAATTGGAACTAACTAAAATGAAGGCAGCAGCAGAATGGGCAATTTCTAATCAAAATTAAGATCAAGACGCTAATTGAAACCTCAGATGAGATTTAAGAAAGCAAATTTCTCCTAAATTTCATTAGTACAATCACAATAACAAACCTTTGGCAGCATCATAACCCAAATTAAGATCATCTTGTTCCAATAGCTTGCCAAGAACCAGGGCACCATCACCACCAGCATTTGAAACAATTGTGAAAGTAGGAGCCTATTAATTAAGAAACTTGCAGTATCATGAAAATGGAACTATAATTAACCACTTGGGAGAATGCTGACAGAGAAATTTGCACTTGATGGAACCTTAAGAGCATTCTCAATAATTTGGACTCCTCTTTTCTGGTCATAATTTGCAGTTCGAAGGCTCTTCAGAACTTTTGTGGCATACAAGAGAGCAACACCACCGCCTATCAGAAAAGTCACTTTGTGATTGTAGTCGTACAGAACCTGAAGAATAATACATGATCAACTTTTAAGAGCACAAAACAACTAACCTGGAACAATGCCCTCCTCCACAGCTGCTCTTGTAGCATTTAGTGCATCTGTAACCCTATCTTTCCTTTCTCCGACTTCTGCCTCACTAGCTCCTCCAACCTGAAAGAAAAAGAATTGCAGTGAAGGACATCAGAGACAATACCTCTCAAAGGATTTAGTAAGGTAAAGAACATACCTTGAAAACCGCAACACCGCCAGATAGCTTTGACAACCGCTCCTGTGCTTTCTCCTTGTCAAACGTGGCAGTAATTTTCTCAATGGCTGCCCTCAGCTGTTCAAACATATGTATATTGTCAATGTACCCCATCTAAAATACCATTTTTCTTCATTTACAGTTATCTCACAAGCCACAACATATATCTAACAGATCTAATTTTAGTTAGTGTAAACATCATCATGGTTGCACTGTACAGTTCACAACCTTTAGTGGAAACCTCACCACGGTTGCATCTTTCAGTTCACAAGATGTGATGACATCTATATTCAATTCAGAATTGATGATCTATTTTGAGTTAGTGTAAACCTCACCATGGTTGCACCTTTCAGTTCACAACATGTGATGACATCTATATTCAATTCAAAATTGATGATCAATACAATGCATCTTCACATGTATATTCAATTCAGAATTGATGATCAATACAGTGTATCTTTGCAAGTCGATGACTTTTATCTCAATTAAATGAAAATAAATTCTTTGTCTAAGTTAACTGCTGAAAATAAAATTTTCCCATTAGAAGAAAGTAAATTTTTTTTTTAATAACTACAGCTAAAACAAAAATTAAATCAAATGCCTTGAAAATTTATGACTTTTCGCAAAGACATAATAATGGTGTAGATTTCATGTTTTCTGTTACAAATAGGTGACAGAACACTCTAAATACATTAATTACATAAGATTATAAAAGGAAGTACCTAAAACAGTTTTGGACATGGTGCACATTCAAGTATACAAGTCCATCTAGAAAATATCTCAAGAAAAGGGACAAAAACTATATGCATATGACAATGCAAAAATGGTAAGCATTTTGGAAAAATCTATGCTGAAATGCATGCATCCTCCAAAATGTAGAAGTGCTTCCTTGCAAGCTTCAAAACAAGACCCAAAAATCATTTACACTTATTCAATTACATTAAACGTAAGATATCTAAATATACATTTTAAGCATAATAATGTATTCTTTTTTTTTTTTTTTAACTCTCCTATTTTAATTTCTGAGTTAGTGAACCCTGAATTTTTTTGTTTACTTTACTAGCATCAATGCAAAACAAATGTCTCGGCTGCAGGCCTTAGTTCTGAAACAAATTTGTACTTGTGCATGTTTGCACAAGCACACGGATGCCCAAACAAGCAGAGAAAATGTCTTTACTGATTCCTACTTGGAAATGTAGACAAATATGAAAAACAACGAAAATATTATTTCACCATCTTAAACAGTTATGCAGTAATAATAATTTAATCAAATAACAGCCTGCATAACCTATATTACAGAGAGGCAATATAAAATATTTTGACTTTCATGTATACAGTTTCAATGTAAATCTACATGCTAATTTTACTTCATATAATAAGTTCAGATGCTTGCAGATCGTACACGTGCAGCTGTGTCAGTAGTGACAATTGCTCAAGTGCAAATAATAATCAAAAGGTAAAAGGGGAGGAAAACGCCAAAAGAAACATAATAAAATCAGCATATATTCTCAATTAAAGCCACCAGCACCTGCTCACATCTTTCTTCAATCATCTTCTTGTCACCAGCCCCATTTAGAATTATAGTGTCATCAAGAGAAACAGTGACCTGCTCCAAAGAAACTCAGATATGTTCCATAGTGGCTCATATAAAGAATAAACTAAATATTATACAAACTCGCATGATCGCATACAAACCTTTTTTGCTGTACCAAGCATATCAATTTGAACTTTGTCAAGACTTAAACCATGTTCTTCATTGAAAACCTACATGTGATTTAGTGAGTATAAACAAAAGAGAGGAAAAACCCAGGTGCAGAAACAAGAAAAAAAAAAAAAAACCAGGTGCAGACACTTGTCTCACCTCTGCTCCAGTAAAAATGGCAAGGTCATCCAAATTGGCTCTTCTGTTATCCCCAAAACCAGGAGCTTTAATGGCACAAACCTACAAGGCAATGCAAAAAAAAAAATGAAAAAAAGAAGAAGCATGAATTACAAAAAGGAACAATAACTTGACAACATTCATTGAAGCAGTGACCCAGGATCTCCAAAACAGAGCCAGTCCATTACCTTAACCCCAGCACGATGCTTGTTGATAATAAGCATCGCTAGTGCATCACCCTCTACATCCTCAGCAACAATTAAGAGTGGGCGATTTTTCTTTTCATAAATGCAAAGCAAGAAAAGAGGTTATTGATGATAAGCTGCTTGATGAGATCAAGAACATGAAAAATCTTTCACTGCCCCAAGTGGAATATAACCCATTCAGAATTGCTTACCGTTATAGCTAGCTCTAATATTCTCACAAGTGAGTTCATGTCTGAAACTTTCTTGTCATGGATAAGGATCAGGGGATTTTCCAGTTCCTGCCTACATGCAAATCAAACAATTTTCAAACTATGTGAGATTGAAAGTTACAATACCGAATAAATAAGAAGAGCTCTATAACAAATGAAAGGGACAATATATATATATTTTTTTGATAAGTAAATGAAAGGGGCAATATATGGGACGATCAAATTAACATATTGGAATTTGGAACATATATTTTTATCAACACCAGCAAATAGGTTAGAACATATGCACATTTAACAGCTCCGTGTTTTATAGATAACAATGTGCTCACAAGAATTAAACTGCAGACTTCAAAGTCACAACCTCATTTTAGCATAGACAGGTTGGATATCCGACATGCAAAGATTAAATTATAAAAATTATCAGCATTTAGAACATTCTAGAGCCATACTTACACATTTCTGGGTCTTCCCATCAGTAATGAAATATGGAGATATATAACCCCTAGCTAGTTTCATCCCCTCCACTACATCCAATTCATTATCCAAAGTGTTTCCGTCCTACATAATCCTTGAGTTAGAATTTGCTTAAGCTTTAAACACTGGTTGACCAATATGTAGCAGCGGTAAAGACAGAAATATGCTCACAGCAACGGTAATGACTCCTTCCTTTCCAACTTTCTCCATTGCCCGTGCTAGAAGTTCCCCAATCTCACGCTCACCATTAGCAGAAATAGTGGCCACCTAACTCAGAGGAAATATATAAGAAATGTACAGAAGCAAATTATTAAGCACAGGTGTAAATAAAGTAGCGGCGTTTAATTAAGCAAGTTTGATTAGCAAATGTGCACTAGAACCCAGAATCATAAAAGTGATCATATTCATTCATTTAAGTTTGTTATTCAAATCTATAAAATGGTTCTTGAAACACTCAATGCTCTCACCCTTGTTCACTAACATTTTTTAAAAGGAAAAAAAACATACATATATGCAACATAAGTTAATTTTACTTTTCTAAAACAAAGCAGTTCCTACTTGCTTTCACTTTTAAGTGGAATATGGGATTTTGCTCACAAGGGCAAGAGATGCCAGCCAATGCACCCCTACCCTTCACAATATCTCTGCTAAAGATCTCTTATTCTATCATGTTTCTCTATCTACTTCCAACTTCATTTTCTTTCCTCTCTGTATCTTAAGTCCCTTGTTATTATCCATGTAACATGAACAAAAATCATCCTGAGTTCCAAACACACCTTTTGATCAGCCAACATTCAACAAAGCAAATTTGAGGAGAAACCGAAAACAGTAAACAATATATTTCCCAACATTTTGAATGACTAACTTATTTGATGTTAAAATGTATCAACTTTGTACTGCTCCAAACATGAGAGCATTGTATAGATATTTCCTAAATGTATTATTCCTTACTAAATGCAACAACAATAAGAAGGCAATCATTTGTTTGTTTGTAATCCCATTACCTGCGTAATTTCTTTGGGTGTGCTTATCATCTTTGCTCTGCTCTTCAAGTCAGCTATAACAGCATCAACTGCCATGTTAATACCACTTCGCAAATCCATCACATTTACACCAGCAGCTACTGACATGCAACCTTCAGTGAATATTGCCTGAGTCAAGACTGTGGCACAAGTGGTACCTGCAACCAGATAATACATCTCTTCTGTCATAAAATCTTGCTAAATGATGCAACGGAAATAGCACTAATAAAATGGCTTTTTTATTTCGACAGACATTGTTTCATGATAAATATATCAAATCCAAGCAAAAAAATAATGCTCAATTCAACTGAATTGATGGAAGAATCACCAGAAGATCATTTGAGGAAGAAAAGTAATATCAAATATTTATACCACCAATATCTTCTAGTCTTGCATATATGATGACGCTGCAACAAAAGCTCCCCTTTTCATGTATATTTTGGGTAATAACTTATATGAGGATTCTTGAGTGAAATGCAATTGTCAAATTCGATTCCTCAATGGAAAAAATGTTTGAGGATCCAAGGATTTATCCTTATATAGACTCACATGAACTAACAAAACCATCACAAACAATGAAACAGAGACATATTCAAATAAAATGAAGTGATATCATTGATAGACAAAATGCTACACGAGATTTTAAATAAGATGTAGTGCATGAAAATGAGTGCCTTCTAACCTTCAATTTTATGCATTATGCAATAATTATTCATAACATTGGTGAATAAAATTTCGTTTATTTGGATAACAAGTAGTCGCGATTTTGAAACTACTTCAAAAGAGCAAGACTAAATAGTAGATTTTTCTTAAATAGTTCTCTTTTTTGTGTAATGCATAGCCAACATAGAAAAATAAAATCTAACATATAATAAATGTTGTCAATGACTATAAAGGCATATGAACATTAAGGTAGGGTGTTAGGACCCGCCTCGCACTATGTAGATACGGTCCGTTTTGCGCTACACAAGCGCTCGCGGTTTTCAAAATGCATCTACACAGGTTGAAGGGATCCCTCCTTATAAGTGCCAGGAACGTCTCCCCCCAAGTGACGTGGGACGTCACATAGTGATAATGTGCCCGTAATGATAGTGGCAAAAGGGAAAAAGCCAAATTTCTGATTTTTAATGGAACTATTCCCTCTCTTACTCTATAGCTTCTTCCCCCTGCCCGCCCACCCCACAAAAAGCATTGTAAAGGTACATGCTAGAGAAAACGATATTACATTTTAGACATATCGAAAGAGCATTTGTGGGTTCAATTAGTGGCAATGCCTGTGGTTTGGTTGCATATACGAATGGTAGCAAAGCATGGCAAGAAGAGATGATGCAAGGTAATGATGAATGTGGTAGTATTTAAGGCAGAGCCTGTCTTGATGGCAGCAATGACAGTATTAGTGTTGGTGATGTTGTTGATGATTGTGAATGAAGATAGATGGAGGTGGTGATAGAGTGGACATGCAGGCATGCAGGTGACGGCACTAATAGTCAGCTTGTGCTGCAAGGTGAAAAAGAATTCTGCTCTAAAGGAATATTTTTCTCTTACAGTGAAGCATTGCTGTTCTTTATAAAAATAATTCAAAAATCAAAAATCAAAGTACACAAGCCAAGTGAACATTTTTAGCTACTTTCCTTAACTTCTAAAGCAAACAAATATATATGAGATGTTGTGTAAATGGATCTTTCTATAAATGAAGGGAGGCTCAGGTATGTTTGGACAAAAAAAATATAGAAATAAATAAGAAATTACCATCTCCTGCAGCATTATTAGTAGCATTCGCAACTTGCTTTACAAGATCAGCACCAACATTTTTAGCTTTTTCATTGAAATTGATGCTTTTGGCTACAGTGACACCATCTTTTGTTACCTTAGGATCCCCATGGCTTTTCTCAATAATCACATTACGACCCTGAATTAATCAGTGAAAGAAGAAGTGACAATTAGTTGGGAGCTATATTCATTCTGCTTTATGGGACCATTGTGCTGCTTAGAGATTACGATTTGTAAGCCTAGAATAAGGAATTAGGTGACTGATTTAAACATAACAAAAGGGTTAATTTTCAAAGATCATCTTTTGTGACCTTAGGATCCCCATGGCTTTTCTCAATAATCACATTACGAACCTGTATTAATCAATGAAAGAAGAAGTGTCAATTAGTTGGGAGCTATATTCATTCTGCTTTATGGGACCATTGTGCTACTTAGAGATTACGATTTGTAAACCTAGAATGAGGAATTAGGTGACTGATTTAAACATAACAAAAGGTTTAATTTTCAAAGATCAATAGAGAATTCTTGCATTATTCTACATCTTTCGGATTCTCCGCTTACTTCCGAAGAAAAGAAATGAAAAATAAGAAAGCTTGAAATCCTATTCAGTCCCTCCAGTCCTGACCAATTAATAAGAGACCAAACTTACATTTCTTCTCTGACAAGACTTACAGGTTAAAAGAAAAGGCACCGGTAACTATTGTCTATGATTCAATCTACAAAACTAAATATGAAGGAAGATCAACAAATTCTTAAAACATTGTCCACTAACGATTAGCTAAAGAGTTCCTTCCAATGATGTCCTTTTATTTATATATATCTCACCATAGTTTAAAAGAAGCAAACAGAAAGGAAATCAAGAAGATAAATTTTAATCACCTTGGGACCCATTGTAACCTTAACAGCCTCGGCAAGCTCGTTAACACCACTTAGCATGGCTGCACGAGCCCCACTCCCAAAAATGATATCCTTTGCAGCATAATCTCTGCTACATATAACCCTACTGCATAACTTTCCAATCCAAAGAGTCAACAAAGCAAACAGATCAAAATCAATTCATGCCCATCAAAAGCGAAAGCAAGATTTTAAAAAATAGATGCATTTCGCATTAATTTGTTCAATCTAAACAAGATAGTCTCGATCAACACTAAAAGTGCCAAATTGAAAATTTAATGTTGCAGTTGAATTGTTTGTAGTATAATACAATCTGTTCGGTTGAGCAGAAAATGAAGGGACGAAAAGAGAGAACAATAATTCTAATTCCTCAATTTTTTTCCAGCAAACCAAAAAGAAAAATGTAAATATAAGAAATGAAGTGAACTGCTGAAATGTATTGTTAATGGAGATCGAAGGCTTTACCAGTTTCCTGGAAGTAGGGGACCTGAACGATGAAGCTAAGGAAGCAGCGACTCGGTACATGGCCGTAACAGTGAGAGAGAGAGAGAGGAGGAGGAGGCTTTACTGCTTTGAAGCAGAGTCGGAGTTGGCTAGGGTTTAAGGCTAAAACCTTCGGACCCGGTTATGAACAGATTCCACTCTCTCTCTCCTTGAGTTATTTAACTTATTTCTCACAATTTTGATTGAATTTAGTTTTCTTTTTCTTTATTTCTATTTTGTTATTTTTTTATTATTATTATTATTATTATTATTATTTTGCAATATGTCACACACACAGAGTCACACACTACCCCTTTAGTTCTCGAAAAACCATTTTGAGAACTTTTTTTTTTTTTTTTTTTTTCCTCCTGCTTTTTTATAACATTTTCAAATGAGAAAAAATTATCACACTTTACCCGGTTTAGGTAGGTTTTCTCTATTAATTCAAAATTTACATTGATCTCTCATGTTAAATATTTTGGGTGAGATTCTTGAGAATGAGCGTGATTCTATCTTATTTTAGTTAAAAATCGGAATTAAATTGAAAAGATAAAAGCAAGTCACATATTTTAAAATGTTAATTTTATTGACATAAGCAAATTTATCATTTGTACGATGTCAAATTAACCTGCCCTGTCCTTATTGAAACGGGTTTGGGATATTCCTAATCGGATTAGGGGTGATTTGGGAAAAGAATGTAAAACCTGTAAAGTTCTGAATCCACCCCGATTAATAATAAATATTATTTTATTAGCTATAATGTTTATTTATTTTTATTTATTATGATAATGTTAAATTTTAAACATATTTTTGTTATTATGTTTGTTAAATATTTGACTTATACTAAACAAATTTTTACAAATTATCTTCAATTTGTTCAAGTTTTAATTTTTATTCTTAAAAATATATGTTACTGCTATTTAATAAAAATCATAAATAATATTAAAATATTATAATTATAAATATTAGTAAATTATTATTATGATTATATTTATTCCCATTATTATGTCATTTTAATACTATATTGATGGTATAAAACTTTACAAGTTGTAAGCTTATAAAAAGAGTTTTCAACCAATTCTTTGTGCGTGCCTTTTTAGATAAATATATTTGGGTGATATGGGAGTAAGGCTATGAGGCCATTGCGATAGTATTTTATGGCAATTTTGAAGGCAATATTAGTACAACATTGTCTCTCTTTGGGCGTGTTTGAAAAAGACAACGTGGATTGTATTTTGGAGCCGTATTGGATTGTTATTATCTACAAGTAAGAAGGTCATAAGACTTTAACACAATGTTTGCATGTCTCTCATTATCCAAGTAAGTTCTTTATTTTTAGTTTATTATTATTGTTTTTCTTAATTATTATTATAGTTAATATTATATTGTTATATTATTAAGTAATTGACTTTGTTGAAATTCTAAATTTATTGTTATATCCATATTGTTAAATAGATACAATATTTATTTTAATAAATACTGAAATATTGTTATGTTTTCATATTGAAATATTATTCGTTGATGCGTTGTTCACTATTTTGTTTTGAATTGTTGTATAATTGAATTGTATTGTTTTTAGTGTTTTATAAATTATATAAAAATTCTCCAACAACACATTATATCATGACGCCCCAAACCATCATGATTCTAATGCGGAGCACCCCGAATTGGATTTGTACAAAAAAAAAAAAAAAAATTATTTGGGAAAGGGGTGCCCCGTCCATAACCCATCCCTAATCATTTGACATAACATAAAAGTAATACTAAGAGCAAAGTGGGTGAATGAGTCTTGTTTCTTGTCAACAAAGTCCATGAAATTCAGGATCATTTATTTCTTTCATTATTTTAATCATTATTATTGTTTTCCTAACATTGAATGGGCTTAATTTTATAGCTAACATAGTGATAAATTCATTATTTCTAATTGACCAAATTTTAGACTCATCTTAATTACACTAGAGTGTGTGTGTCGTAGTTTAACCCTTGCAAAGATGTTCCAAAACCTTCGAAGCTTCTTCTAAGCTATGGTGATATCCATTTGGACTCAGTCAGGTTGAAGTTCCATGGAAACCTCAAAGTCAAAGAAGTGTAGATTATAAAGCTTTCAATCTTTTCCCAACTACTAATACTCAATCAGATCGTATTAGGTTTTTAACGAAAATTTTCTTCAATAAGAACTTAAATACTCCGTATTTATTTAAGTAGGCCCATAACCTTCAAGAATGTTTTTTTTTTTTTTTTTTCGTCTCTCTCTCTTTCCTTTTATGGTAAGTAAATTAAATTACAAATATTTTCGAAAATTGTCATACCACAAAATAACTGTACCATTTTAAAGGTAATTAACTTTGGCTAGATATTGATCCTCTAAAAAAAGAAAATGCAAAAGTGCTAAAAAAATCTCTCTGAATTATCAAGAAAGTGAAAAATAATCCTCTAGACAATATCGGTATCGGTTGATTCACATGCTTGTGTATTTTTAATAAATACCCAAATTACCCTTTTTGAGGATTCTCCGGGGGGTTATTTTTCACTTTGTTATTTTTCACTGTTTTCTTTTTTGTTATTATTATTTTTTTTAATCTGTTATACCACATTCATGGATGTTTTTTTTTTTTGTTATTTTTTTAAAATCTATTACACCACATTCACTGGATTTTTTTTTGTTACTCCGTTATACCACATTCATGGGAAATTTGTTTTTTGTTATTATTATTTTTTTTTTATCCGTTATATACCACATTCATTGGAAATTTGATTTTTTTTGTTATTATTGATAAGGAAAAATAACCCTAGCCTATCTTGACTTAACGAAAAAGGTAATTAAATATTGACTGGCCACCAAATTTCTTCAACTCTCAGGCGATAATATCTCGTTATCAAGGATAACCATTTCTACTAGATAAGAATGATGACAAATCGTATCAAGGATGCCATCCTTGTTTTGCAAGAAACGGTGTCGTACTAGACCGCGGCGAATTTTCAACCTCAACAGTTGGCGCCGTCTGTGGGAACGACGATTCCCTTGAATCGATTTATTACTCGTTGGGTATAGACGTTTGCGGTCCGGTATGGTTACCGAAGGAACACCGTCGCAGGGATCTGGTCAAAGGGAAGAGTCGGGTGGAAACCTAGACGTCCCAAATGACCAGACGCGGTTTGCAGCGTTGGAACTGCAAGTCCAAACTTTGAATCAGGGTATGGACCAGTTGATCCAACAAAATGTAGCACTCCTGCAACACCTTGTTCCACCGGTTCAACAGAGCTTGCCACTCCAAGACCTCTCGAATCCAAACAGGGGTAATGGGAATTTGGAAGAGCACGATACTCATCCTCCCCGACATGAGACCGAAGTTGAACAAAGCCAGGTGGGAAACCGACATAGAGAGGTGATCCACCCCTCTCTTCCACGGAGTTCCCAACCCCATGAAGACACGACTGTCATTGAAAAAACCGAGGAGATTTCCCACGTTGACCTAAAGATGCAAGATCTCAAGGCAAAGATGGAGCGTGTGATGCAGGCCATGAAGGGAAAAGGCATTGCAGCCATAGATGGTTTGGTGCAGAAGACCAATTTGTCATTCAGCCTCTCGGTTATGAAATGCCCTTTGCCAAGCAAATTTAGAATGCCCACAATTGAGAGTTTCAAAGGAACTAAAGATCCCCTTGACCACTTGGAGACTTTTCAGGCGCTTGTGTACCTGCACGCGATGCCGGATGAGATCATGTGCAGGGCTTTCCCAACGACTCTCAAAGGATCAACACGGGTATGGTTCAACAAACTAAAGCCAGGAACCATCGAAACCTTTGAAGAATTAAGTAAGGGCTTTGTGGACCATTTCATTGCTGGCCAAAGGCATAGAAGGCCGGCTACCCACCTCCTTACTGTGAAGCAACAGAAGGGAGAGTCACTGTGAGATTACATTAGTCGTTTTAACACAGAGATGTTACAGGTGGAGGAAGCGGATGACAAGGTGGCCCTAGCCGCCTTCATGGGAGGACTCCAAACCTCAAGATTCCTCTTCTCTTTATCAGTGAAACCTCCTACCAGCATGGCCGAGTTATTGGTTCGAGCTAAAAGACATATGAATGTTGAAGATGCAATGGTTACAAGAAAGGGAAAAGAAGGGGAGGATAAGAAGTCAGACAAGAAAAGACCGGCCCTGACAATCAGAGATGAAAAGGAAACTAAGTATAAAAAACCCAAGGTCAACCAGAGTGAAAGGGCATCTCGCTATAAGAACGCGGAGAGGTATACAAATTACACTCCTTTAAATATGCCGATAGATCAAGTTTTCCTGCAGATCCAGGAAGAGCCATATCTGAAGTGGCCACCGAAGTTGAAGTCAAATATGGCAAGGAGAACTCGTGATAAGTATTGCAGGTTCCATAAAGACCATGGGCACGCTACAGAGGATTGCTTCGACCTTAAGGATCAGATTGAGACTCTAATCCGAAGGGGGCACATGCGAAAGTTTATTGTGGGGAATGACAGAACCGACATTAATCCACTAAGAGCAGGCCGAGACAACCACCCTCCTGATCAACAACCAATATGAGAGATCAGGGTCATAGCCGGGGGGTGTGCAGGAGGTGGAGAATCGAGCTCAGCCCGTAAGGCTTATGCCAGGAGAATGCGAAACTCATCTGAGGTGTGCGAAGTAGGAGTACAGATTCAACATCAAAAGATGCCTCGTTTAGGTGATCCAGTTATTACATTCTCAGATGAAGACATGAAGGATGTGCAGCAACCTCATGACGACCCTCTTGTCGTCACCATGATGATCGCTAACTATAATACTCGGCGAATCTTGGTAGATAATGGAAGTTCAGCTGATATCATTTTTCTTGATGCATTCAGCAAGATGAAGATTGGTAAGGAGAAACTCAGACCTACTAGATCACCATTGGTGGGATTCACGGGAGACAAGGTGTGACACCCCCAGATTTCCGAATGTGGTTGGCCAGGCCCACGCCCGAATACCCGAGGATATCAAAACAAATTGATAATAAACGAACACAGAGTACAATTTAAGATAAATAAGAATAAATAAAATATGCTGAATAAAAAACTAAAATGATAATCCATTGAATAAAACCTCGAAATAAACTTTCATTAATAAATAACTTTTATGGTACAACTGATCCTCCATATACAACTCGGGAATCCATCTAGTGGACCCCTATTCAAATTCCAATTGTATTCAAAAGAACTGGAAATAAAACTCAATTCTACCACATGAAATACAATCCTATGCCTTCGGTGGA